GGGGGTTTTGGCACTGTTGCGCTGAGTGGGACAAAAATGGGGGACGAGTGAGCTTAACAGGCGGAGGAGTGTGCTTATTGCTTAATAGAGATGCAAGTGCGCAAAGCTCCGAACCTGCGGGCTAGAGATAGGGCGATTACTGTAGGCAGGGGGGTAGAAACGTAGAATAGTTCGTGGTCAAGTAGCGAGGAGCTGAAGAAGGTGCTGACCCAATTGTTCCTTGTAAATATCAAAACTAAATAAAAAGTGTGCTATTTAAATATCAAATTATCTAAAGTAAATATCAAAAGTGCGCTTTTTTTTATCGCGTGTCATGATTTTTTCTTTCTCGGGAGTTGGGTGAATATGTCGCGCAGACATTATAACACGTTGACTCCGATTGCTTCATCTTGTACAATTATTTTATTTTTTGTACTTTTTTTAAGCAGGGTTGCCAGACGGACATTTTTTCCGGACAAATTCCGTGATTTAGTTTTTCTCAATTACGTTGGCCGGTTAAAATTTATGATAGGGGATCTTCCTAATTAAATTTTAAATGCTGCAAAAAGAAAATAAATGGAATTTTTATAGCGGAACCTACAAATAAACTACTAGTATACATTGAGTTATTGGCCTTTTTTGGCCTTTTTTGTTCTCGGATTTGGCCGATTTTAGGCAACCTGAATTGTGTACCACTACCTCCTGGAGAAATACATTTCGTGGTACGCATATGTTCCAATACGTAGTCAACGTGTTAAGGCTACAGATCTTCTACGGTTAGGTTGGACTTAGGTTGGACTAGTGAGCTGCCCACTGCTATATGCTGCGGCAGCTGAACTGTAAATACTCTGGCACTGTCTCCTGTGAACGCGGTACCACTTCAATGACGGGTCTAATCCTCAGGCCTTCATTTCGTCTTTGTTATTGCTAGGCAGTATATACACTGCAGTCCACTTCTTGATATGTCTTAGTATCCTTGGTATCTGTTTCGGACGTAGCAGTCCCAGGCCACGATGAATCGCCGCCTCTGATGATCGCGCATATCTGCCCTCATTTGGGCCAGCTGATGCACGATGCTGTTGCTTGCTCCTCGGTGTATCTTATTTTCTGTTCCTTATAATCACCGACGTTTCTTCGAGCAATATATAAAAACTCTCATATGATGAGGGTAAAACTTTTAATCACAAAGAACCTCTGCTATGAAGACGGAAAAATTCTGAAATAGTCATATAAGAGAAGTTTACAAGAGCGCAGAGATCGTCTCTTGATCCCAAGACACTTTGGCCGCCTCCTTACGTCAATCTGACCTTTTCCCGATGCCTGCAAAACCCTTTTCTTGTATTCGTTTACTTTGTTTAACTAGAGCCCATTCCCATACCCGGCCATTTATCTTATTGCTGTCTTCCATCATGATCGTTTATTTCAAATCTTTCAATGCGTCGTTACAACCAAACTGCGGGCTAGAGGAAGTGCACTTCAGATATAAAGGAACGCTCTAGATATCAAGGGGTGCTTCAGACTGAGGTACTCTGAGATCTCATGGAGCTTTAGAGATCACTCTAGAGAATATCACAGCCCTCTCTAGAGTATTCTCGATCGACGTATTTGTGCGAAGGCGACGGTCTGTGCATTTATGGAGTGATAATAAGTACGGGGTTTAATAATAATGCACAATTCTAAACTTCTTTTTCTAATTTTATTTATTCACTTTTGTTGTGGCTTCTTTCTCTACCAAAACTGCGGTTTGCGTGTGAGGGATACTGCTAGAAAAACCTGCAGTTATTTAGACGAGCAATTTTGTTTGAAGGTTTCATAATGAATATTTTACGACATTTAAGTTTCGTGGCCAAACAAATTGTGTTGGCCAAATCCCGACTAGCGCTTGCTGTTATTTTTATTGAAAAGTCATTCGTTCTTACAACAAGCAAATGCGTCCGATATCATGTATGCATCAAATTAACTCAAATCATTCAATGCGCCTTGTAACTTGATAATGAATGACTGATACATTCGAAACGTTGTTAAAGAAATAAAAATGTCCATCTGTACCCTGATTTTCGATTTACCAGTGCAAAAGAAAATTATTGTTCGATCTATTGAAAAAAAAAACTAATAAGAAAATTGTAAATAAAACGAATTCTCTGGTCTTCAATGAAACCTGCTTAAATCAAATAACTATAATAATAACAAATTCAAGGCAATAACAAATTCAAGGCAATACGGAGTAGTCGTGAGCTGAGAAAACTATTAACTTACATGACAGCTTAGCAATGAAAGCAAGAAGGGAGAGGAACTGGATGCGGTTGTAATTACAGCGCTATGTGAACCATCGCTCCAGCGGTTGTCTGTTACCGACGACTGCTATGTGTGAATACCAACGGTGTGGAACAGTCCTTATGATGAGTGTCCCAGGGAGGATAAGACACAAGCATGAGACATTCATGCCTGTTGAACTCATCACTTCACACTCCATACATCGCAAAGAACTCGCACACATCATATAGCACTCTACACATCACATAGCACTCTACACATCACATGACACTCTTACATCACATGACACTGTGTACATATCATGTCACGCTGTACATCACACAACACTCTGTACATCACATGACGCTCTACACATCACATATAGCACCTTATACATAACATAGCGCCCTATACATCACATGACAAGGCACAAGAGAAAGAACTGCATATGAGAGTATAGGTCCTAGCGGATGCGGCCAGGTTTCATGCGGCTCTCTATCCAGCAATAAAGGAGCCTCTATTACGGACCAGGAATGTCGCTCCGGCTCTTGCGTAACACAGTTTTGGTAACTGACACGCATCTCACCCTACGCTATTTTGCCTGTAAACAAATTGTTTATTTCTCGTGAAGCAATATTTATCTATGCATCGAAGAACATGACTGTGCTGTATCGTCCATTGTTTCTTTACCTGGTTGATAGCGACATCAATTATTTACATAAAAAACATCGTTTACTATTCCAAATGTTTGCGTGCCCTGCCTTCACCATGTGCATCGTAATATATGCCCTTTGTTTCTTCAATATGCACCTGCATTAGCATTGATTTAGCGATCATTAGTTCTAATTGCAACCGCAATAAATTGTCATGATCGTGTGAACAGTAACGATTAATTCTTGTGTCGTTTCATACTTGGTGAGCGCGCTAATCGAAAAGCTATTTAAAAGTTACAGTTCAAAATAATCAATAAAAGTAGCATCTGGCTCGAAGTTTATTTTTCTAGGATCAAGGTACAAAAAACTGGTTGAGCGTTTCATCATTCAAAATATATTTGCCCAAAGTAACGAAAACTTTCGACTTAGCTTAGTTTTATAGTTCGCGATAACGATGCGAGCCAGTAACCGGACGCTGGTACGAGCGCCTTGTGAGCACGCCAGTAACTGAACGCTGGTGCGAGCGCTCTGTGAGCACGCTAGTAACTGGACGCTGGTGTGAGCGCTCTGTGAGCACGCCAGTAACTGGACGCTGGTGTGAGCGCTCTGTGAGCACGCCAGTAACTGGACGATAGTGCGAGCTCTCCATGAACACATATTTATCCGCTCACCATCACTCAAATTAGATCATTTACAAATGGTAATACTATGGAACTGTAGAAGATTATTTTTGTTACGAGATTTTAGTCCATTTGTAATCGAGTTTAAATTGTCTCGTGGTGGTGCACGCGTGCACCACTGACCCTGCACCTGTCGCAGCGCCGAGAACCGCATTCCGCTTTCCCTCGTCCACCAGTTGGAGGTTGCCTGCTGCCGCGGCGCCCATTAACGCTCCTTTCCCTGACCAACTACTCGAATGGACCTAAATTTATTGGCTGGACCAAGAATACCAGTAAAACAAACGAGAATATTGATCATTCTGATAATTCAAATAAGAACTGGTAGCTTGCTCACGGCGCTAGTTAACGAATAAGGCTATATAGAGTTTACTAGAAAATGTTGGCTCGGTACTGCGGTGCACCGTATTTCATTCACGCTGACGTTGTATAGGGCCAGAGGTGTTGCGATGCACTTGGAAGGTTGCGGTGCGGTTATCGATTGTCGGCCGCTGCCAGACGGGCAGTAGTCAAGAGGCAAGAGACGTGATCTCGAACTCCGTGCTGTACGACGTCGTCTCACCTTTGGTGCATTCGTCGCGGGCTGGGCTAGGCTGGGGCCGGTTGAGTGTGATTATCGTTTGAACGAATCCGACCATCCAGATCCGTGATATAAAGTGTCTGTGATGGTGATCTCATATATCATTAGGTGTCTTAGTTTATTTATTCCAATGCAATTAGGGAGGTTCTGCATGAGCGACGTCCGTAATTTTTGATGCTTAGCGCAATTGACTATTCAAATAAATGTTCTACCGATGATAAAAAAAATCGATAAACGAACTGTAACATCATGCTGAAAGGAATACTATACCACAGCGAGTGCAGTCAGCATTGGCTTTTTAGTGATACTCGAATTTGACTGCAAAAAAAGAGAGTTTCCTTCCACAAAATCTATCTGGAAGCTGTACACAAATGCGAATTTTCAAGTCGTAGCTGCCGACGTATGCGATGCGGCGTATTGTGATGCGCCACCGAGGCCGTATTGCAGAGACGGCAGCTGAAGCCTACGTTTATTTCAAGCCCCGGCGTTTACGCGCCACGAGAGGTCGGTTATCTCGCCTAAAATAGGGCTCCGTGCTAGAATGGTGTAGATGCTGTCGCTAGGGTAAGACTCTCATTGTAAAATTAATATAAGATTTTAACGCCTAACTCCACATTAGCTTTTGAATATGACCATCACATGACAATAAATCATAATTGAGCCGTAAAATTAAATTTTAGACACTATTGTGACATCTGGTGTGACATTAGTTTTTCCCAATTTTTCTCGCCTAATCTATTCAGTAACATTTGAATGACGTCTGCGAAATTTTCACAAGTTTAAAATTCCCTCGAATCATCAATTCGTGAATGTAAAAACTCTATCGTTGAAATAATTGTGGATAACGAAAAGCGCGACTGACCAAAAATTTTATTGAAAAAGACGATGCACGTTAGGTAAATTAATGCACATAATTAATCGAATACTTAACGGGACTCTTGACAGCTGAAAATGAATAAAATTATTAATTCTCTAAACGAAGTGACTAATGACGGCAGTTAAGCTTAGAAAATAATGGAATATAAAACAGATGCTGACCAAAATATTGTAATTGTTTAGTTGCAACAGCAATCATCTCTTCTTGAAGCCATACTTCTTGCGTTCGTAGAAGAGATCGGTCTTGGATGACCCCAAGTTAACGATCTTGGGGCAGCCATCTCGGTCCTTCTCCAGCACCGTGCATTCTTTGCAATAGTACGCGTCCGAAACCCCTGCAAAACAAAGCATTATTTGCACATATACTGCAAAATACACGAAGCAACACCTATGAGGTGGAAAAATAATATAATACCTTATGTAGATAATCCATAATAATAATACTCTGTTACAAATTTAACGTATAATAACAAGTTTTCACGATTAAACTCGTAACTAGCACAAGTTTAAGCTTTCTCGCTGTTGAGCGCCCCACGACGCTTTAATACGTCATGAGTTCTAACTACATTACTGCGTCAAAAATCATGATATTAAATTACTACTGCAACGTAATAGATACTAGCAGCATTAATACCCTATATTATTAGCATTAACTCCCCATACTATTATCATTAATACCCATACTATTAGCATTAATTCCCCCATTATTGCAGCATTAATTACCTATGCTGCAACATCTCACTGACCAGGTCCACCACAGATGACGCAGCGTCCCTGATACGAGCCATAGTTACACTCATCACATATCCTGACGAGCGTGCATGGTCGTACGTAGGAGTCGCAAATCACGCATTTGCCGTCACACTTTTCGCAGAGCCGTCCTATCGCTACGCCCGGCTGCTTGCGGCAAAAAATCAAATCCGGATGATGTTTGGCCATGTTTAACTGGCATCACCAAGTGCCAATCTGGAAAAGTGCAATCAATGTCTGGGTTTTTTGGCAATTAAAATGGGGCAAAATATGATGTATTACTATCTGCATACACAGAGGTATAGGTTTGGTACTCCATTATACAAGTTGTCTCACAGTCTAACTTGAATCAAATGCGATATAAATCTACTTTTGAGGTCATAACAGGATTTTTGCCAACTTGTATCCTGCCGAATTGGCACCTTTGGCAGTGCCAATTACATTTATCCTGCCATGATACCATTTTAAGTCATCAATTTATTTTCCAATGGTCAAAACAGGCTTCCAAAACATAAACCTAGCAGTGCATCTTGCCTCAAAAAATTAATTTTACCCTTACTACAGGAAAAGGAATATCTTCTTCAAATTATAGGAAATCAAGCTTCTAACAATACTGGAAAACTACTTCTTTGAAGATATAATACTGCTTCAACTTGGAGCTTTTAGTACATCAAAACTTTGGCCTAATATTCCAGATTGCTTTTGTGACAACTTGTTACTCATGTGTTGATAGTCGAGTGGATGGATTTGGGGTGTGAAGCCCTGAATAGGACTTCTGTGAGTTTGGTCTGGCCTTAAATCAGCTAACTGCCCTGCATCACATATTAGTATTTTTCAGTAGCAGAAAAGGCAAATGAGGACAGGTAGAGAGGATATTATAGCAAAGGCTTGAGGCCAAAGGGTGGGAAAGTTTGTGTTAAGAGTAAGATGTAACAAGGAAAAGAACTTCAAGCAAAAAGTTATTTGGTCTATAACATATTGCTACCCTACTTATTGTACTGTAGTTTCAAGGTTCATATTAAATATTGGTATCTCTCAGGCCCCAAATAATTATTAGTGTCCATCAAATTATTATTGTTACTGTCAATATTTGTTATTGCTTGATTCTTTCTGCCTCTCTGGCCTCCATTCTCACCAACTTCTTCCTCGCCCTCATTCTCCAAGCACTCTCCAAATATACCTTTGCACTCTCGGTCATGGCAGCAGTCACCTCTGTTGACAGACCCACAGTTGCCCACTATCATCGCAATCCATTTGTTTCCCTTTTTCTCATACATCACACCATCATCCTTCTCATCCAGCATCACTCTCACCATTTCCAGTCTCTTCTCATATGCATCACACTCCAAAATCAGGTGTTCCCCAGGTTCTCTCTCACCTATGTCACACATATAACAAATATCCTTTCATAACTGTTCTTTAATTTCACCTGTAAATCCAGGCAATCACACTAAAAGCATTCACATTCACGCCGAACAACATGCAGTAGAGGTGGGAACAGAATCCCCAACTACACTCTAGTTGGGGAAAGTCCTGCTGTTTTCTGAAATATTGCGGCTCTAATTTCATGTATTTTTGTTTGATTGAAGAAATTGTGGTACCGGTACTACACAAACATGTCATTTCATAAAATTTTCAACTTCTGCCGTACTTAGTACCATGCTCCTAAAATAATTATCCAGCATAACAAGTCAACCCAAAATGTTTTGTTAGAGATTGTACAGTTGCTGTCAAGTCACGACTGCATTATCACAATATCACATGATCAGTTGCCTCTAAATTGAAGACAAATGTTATTCTTGCTCTTTCTAGGGTAAATTAGAGATTTGGGATAACAAATGCACAGGACTTTGCAAACAAGCTTGCAGCTTGTAAATGGCTTTTCATGGTAAAAATATTAAATTAACAGCTCAAATAAATGGAATTGCAGCTTGCAAATCCACAAAACCACGGCTTGAAAAAAAAAAAACAGTTGCAGTTCCAAGAGTAGATATTTTCCTCAGTACTCACTATTAACTAGCCTCTACTACGTACTACCATCATACAAGTCAAGAAAAGTCATACTTTTTTCTGAAATATTGTGGCACTAATATTGTATAATTTCAGATGGTATGAAATCTTGTGGCTCTAATCTCATGTATTTTTGTTAGATTGAAAAAATTGCAGTTTGCACTTTGCAAACATGTCATTTCATAAAATTATTTTTAATTTCTGCAATTTGCAGTACTTCAGCTCCAGCCAAAATATCCTGCAGATTGCAGAACATAATGAATAATGATAATGAGTCAACCCAAACATTTTGTTGAAGATTGCATAGTTGCGCTCATGTCAGAGCAGTCAGACTGCATTATTATGTGATCAGTTGCCATAATTCAGGATTGGAATTTTCCTAATCATTGTCATTTCTGAAATCTTGCAGAGTTGCAGCTGATCACGACAATTTTTTTAATACATTTGTAATCTAGCAGCCTGATCTTGAATTTTTATTAACAATTATATACAAGGTAATTCATCTGGCATAAATCTCAAGGTTCTGGAAATGGCCGAAAGCTTTAGTTGCGGCCCCAGCCCTAAACTAAAGGTAGATGCTTGTTGCCACTCAAGCGAAGATAAAAGACAAATGGTTTTTGTTGCTGTTTGACTGTTTAAGGGTAAAATTAGAGATTTGGGGTAACGTGGGTCGTGGGATGATGGATCATGGGCACGGCCTGGCATGAAATATATCTATTTGGCAAGCCGTGACTGAATGTTTTGAGCCGTGGTTTTGTGGATTTGCCAGCCGTGATTCCATTTCTTCGAGCTGTGATTCCATTTCACCAAGCCGTGAATTCCATATCTCAGCCATGAAAAGTCATTTATGAGGCGCGAATTTATTTACTAAGTCCATGCACGTGTTACCCCAAATCTCTAATTTTACCCCAAAACAGGCAAACTGCAACAATAAAATTTGTCTTTACTGTAAGATGAGCACGTGTTAATGCAGTCTGACCACTTTGACATGACCGCAGCTATGCGCTCTTTTCAACAAAACATTTAGTTGATTTGTTTACATTACGATGTTTGTTTTTTCTGCAAGATATTTTGGTGGGAACGGTAATCAATGCGGATTGCGCAAGTTGGAAATGTTATGAAATGACATGTTTGCGAAGAGCAAACCGCGATTTTTCAGTTGAACAAAAATTTATGACATTCAAGCCGCGAGATTTCATACCTACTGAAATTAGGTATATGATATTAGTCTAGAGCTGCGATATTTCAGACAAAAATAGGACTTTTCCAGCCCTGGGCACAGCGGCACATGAATCCACAAAACCATGGCTTGAAAAATCCAGTCGAGCCTTACCAAGTAGCATAGTGGCAAACCAGAGCTTTTTTAGAATCAGTTCATTTTTAATTTACTCATTTACCCAAGATTTAAACAAATTTCTTAAGTATTATAATGCTGGTATCCAGGATACTTTACTGGTCTACTTATAGGACTCAAAAATGAACTTGAGGGAGAGTCTAAAAAACTCTCTGCTTTGCCACTATGCCAAGTAGATACCTATATTCCAACTTTTCCAAGCCTGCCAATTGCTAGCATATAATGTTATATTCATTCATACTTTTTCATCATTTTTATTTTCTTCATGCTGTTCTTTCTTTCCATTCTTTGCTTCAATACTCTTCATTTTTATACCATATAATTCTACTTTCTTTTCAACTTGAGTATTCTTTCTCTTTCCACTATTTTATCAACAAAATGAATACCTAGCACTTAGCAGTGCATACTGGCATACACTGGAAATAGAATCATTAATCATAGAATGAAAAAAATGTAGCTATTACCTAAGTTATCTAATTATTTTTTATTTTAATGGACAAATTAGCTCAAGTGCTAAGTTTTAGTACTGGAGACCGGAGTGTCTATTAGAGTGTTAGTACTGTCGAAATTTACTCCATTATTATATTTCTTCTGCCTCGTTTTCCAGTTATCTGATACAATTGTTAATTTAGGATGAGTAGGTTGCATTAGAAATGATCGAGGATTATCAGCCTCAGGACCGTAAAATAAAGAGATAGAATACGGTAGATATACCTAGTCACTTACAATAAAAATGGTTTGTTATAGTATAACAAATAATTGACGATGGCTTTTGTAAAAGAAATGTTTTTCTGCAAATCTCCAGCACGATACTTTAGCCACTGTTGCGCGGCGATGTGAACGTTTGAAGCTAGCGTGCGGAACTAGCAGCCAGGCAGAATGATCCGCGTTTGTTTTGCTCGGTCGGCAGCGTGACCATGTTTTCGTACTCAACTTGCCGGGCTAAACACTGAAGAATTGCGGTTTCTCTAAATTATCTCAATTATTCTAAAAGATGAAACGCGTTGCCACGTTGATCAGAGTGCCAAATTTGCACATGGTCAGTGCAAATTTTTCGTTACGGGACGTCTTGCAGTGAACGATCCTTCTTTATTTTGTTTACGACAATACTCGTCATATGCCTGTTTACTCGTGCATATCCATTTACACTAGCGTTCTTGAACAATTAATATACATAAAAGACGTTTTACTTGTGCCATTAAGCAAAAATTATTATGAAATACAATACTCCTGATTTTACCTGCAGATGCCCGGGAGCAGGCACGACAAGAGCTGTATGGCGCCTTACTAGAAGCGTGCTCCAAGGGTGACGTCGCACAGGCGCGGGCGTTACTCAGAGATGTGGGTGATGAAGCTCCTGTCATCGTGAACGCAGCGCCCAATGGAGCTAACACGCTCCTGTACAAGTGAGAACTGTTGTGGCTCTTGTATATTATATAGAGATTTACATGGAATTATATATAAAATACGGCTATTATTTATCTATATCGTATTTCTATGAGAATTAAAAGACTGAAAATTTTGGAATCCTTATCCTTTTTCAAGAACATTTTTGCTCCCAGCCGGGCTTGGATTTCCAAGGTTATATAGCGCTAATGCCGGCAATATGGCGAGAATATCTCATTAGTTTATAGTTGCAGGGAATATATCACTTACCTTGATACCTAATCCATGTGCGACGTGCAGAGCTTGCGAGGAGGGCCACAAGGAGCTGGTGAAGCTGCTGCTGGAGTGTGGAGCGGACGACAGGATACATCCCGTCACCAAGTACAGTCCGCTGTACATCGCAGCAAACTGCGGCAGGAAGGATATTGCCGAGATGCTTCTCAAGGTGATAGAGTTTGACGTGACATTAAATTTATCTATTTTATCCTTAGCGAATATATCTTTTTAGCGCATTTTCTTATTTATGGAAAAAATGCCCTATTGTCCTCGTCATGTCCGTCTGTCTGTCCGTGACTTCACGTTTTCGTCGACGAGAAAATGCGCTCTCTGTCATTCACTGCAGTGAGTACTGAGTTATATTTTTTTATATGCTCCTCAACCGTTTTGTTACAATTATAAAGTTATTTTAATTTATCAGACAAATTTAAGTGCGATTGCAAGATATAAAAATTATTCTATAATTAAGAACGTTTATAAGAGAAATTGCAAGATTTTAAATCATTATAGAATTTTTTGAAGTTTCGAAGCTGAAAGTTCGAAAATGATTGCAAGTAAAAAAAATGTCATATTATTCAGTGCCAGCGCAGATAATTGAAAAATGTTTACATCAAAGTTTAATTCATAGTATGGCTAATCGGTTATGCCGGGTCTTTGCTGAACTGTTTATTTTTTTACTTTATGTTCTTGCATGAATTTACCTTCTTCCTCTGATCCTTCTTATAATTTTTGATACAGGCTCCTATCTATTTATCTTTTGAATTTTTGTATTCATGTTAATTTAAATGTTGTTGGCAGAGGTTCCCAGGCCTGGCGAGCGTCTACACTGTGGAGAAATGGCTTCCTCTGCACGCCTGCATCATCAACGGCCACATGAACATACTCACCCTGCTGCTCTCCTACCCCTACCCTCCTCACTGTCTCACCACCTTCAGGTGCAGAACAAAGTCACTATCCTCTAACAACATTATAATTCTTCTTCGCACTGTCAGTAATTGTACTGATATTATTTGTAACCGTACGGTTAAAGGTAGTCAATTAAATTGAACAATGAATTCTGAGGTCATCACTATCAAAACTCGTAACCATGCATTAATAAGGAATCATAATAATAAGCAATAGAGAATTGATGTCACTTATTTGCTTAAATCGCAAGTTAACTGAAAATTTAAAAGCAAAGAATAGTCCACAAAAATTCATATCTTTATAGAAAACGTTTTGGAGTTCAGCTCCAGCTGGAGCTGGACTCCATTCTTTGCTTTTAAATTTTTAGTTAATAAGCATTAGATGTTAGCCTCATATTGCCGGTATTTCAGAGACAAGACAGGCAGATGGCAATACCAGTTCGGGTTCGACTGCAACCTGCGCGACGTGACGGGGCAAAGCGCCCTCTACCTGGCCAGCTACTGCGCCAACCACAAGATGGTTGACTTGATGCTCAAACTTAGAGTGCCTGCTGTCAAAATTAAGGTCTGTTTCATCAGTAACCTGCACTTATTTAGCGTTGGTATATCCGGCATAAATGAAATTTTACTTTGCTTTTTCCTTGCCCTATTTTTTATACAATTTTTTAGTAATTTTCAAATAGTATCATGAAATTATTGTGTCGGCTTTGAGTTGTATGATCATAGGCAAAAGCTTATTAAAAGAAATGTTATACAAGTTTTTATTCTAAATTTTAATGTTCCTTCAGACACGAGAGGAGCTGGAGCAGGAACGCCTCCTGCAGGAGCAAGAGACAAGAACCCGTCTGGCGGAGGAAGCTGCAGGACCTTCCTCTTCCAGTAATGGTTCACAACAACGGGAAGCAAGTGACGGTTGTGCCACGTCTCAGAGTGAGGGAGACAACAACACCTCTCATAAATCTATCGATGAAAGTCCTGGCAAAATAGCTGCTACAAGTCCTAGCAAAGGCGCTAGAATATCTGGAGGCATTCAAGCGCTCATGTCAAAACTAAACCTCAGTCGCCCAGAAGCAAAATCTGGTGACGAGAAAGAGGACACTGTGTGTCCATTTGAGATCGATCTCTACTGCAACAGCAACACAGGCAAGTTCTTCTTCATAATATCTCTTCTATTTTTGTACTTATCACATTCATGACAAATTATTTCATTTTCATTTAGGTTTCCTGATGTCTCGTTGATTTTTGCTATTACGTATTCAGATATTACCAATGTAGAGTTTTTAGCTCTTTCCTTACCGTGTTACTACATTTTACTTCATCAAATGCTGAGCATCACTTGATGTCGTTATACGCAGCGTTGTTTTGTTGTCTGCTTTCAAAAGTACCCGGTCACCTGAAAGGCCTTTTCATTGAAGTCCGTCACCTGCACTTACAATATCAAATATTCAACATATAATTTCTGCAACTCTGACAAGAAACATGTATGTTCTTTGTATCTTACGCTTCTCCCACACCATTCACAGTTATGAATTCAGTTATCAAAACTCCTTCCTGTGCCTAAAAGATATATTCCAGTGCTATTGAATTTTTCTTTTCAAAACTAAGTCCTNCATCCTGCAGCTACCTTCAGAACCTCTCTTTGTTTTTTTATCGCAAATTCTTTTTGCAAGTGTTTAGACCCAATTTAAAAGTACTTAGTTACATGCACCTATTCATGTTAAAAATATGTAGTGTGAGACCCATATTTTTCAACTTTATTGTGCTAGCGTTAAGATTTACAATCTTGCCTTGTTATGTCTTTGCATTTTACGAGAGTCAAGCAACGGATGACTTACTCGTGTTCAAATACTATTTTCATAATTAATTACATTGATGAACAGAAAATTTCTCATATTCTACTCAAATCTTTATTATCACAATTCTGATAAGATTCTCGTTTTGACTTATTGAATTTTTATGACATGTTGAATACAGAATTTTACGACATGTTGTTTTGTCTTAGACGAGCTCTCGTTGTAAACTCAATTTATGAGCGGTGAACTGTGCCGATCCTAACAAAAATATTTAACTAACGTTACATTTTTTATAAATTAACCGTGCCTCGTTACTTAATATTTTTTCCTTAAAAATTAGATGAAAAAAACTGTATTTAGTTTGCTCTGACACTGCAAAAGCATTCATGTTTTTAAGAGCAAATAAATGATGTAGCGACGTTCCAGGTTCCACCGCTCTGGTGGAAGCTTGTCGCAACCACGACCTGGGTATGGTGGAGATGCTTCTTAAGAACCACGCCAGGGACGACCAGTGCAAGGCTCTCTTCATCGCCGCTCACAACAACGACACCATAATCCTGTCCAAACTCCTGGCGCTGAAGGTGCGTTCAACGTCTTGGGCACCTGATATGTCGCTTTAAGTCTCATGACTTACGAAGTGACAAACTGAAATAGCACAGGGACGACCAGTGCAAGGCTCTCTTCATCGCCGCTCACAACAACGACACCATAATCCTCTCCAAACTCCTGGCGCTGAAGGTGCGTTCAACGTAATCCTCTCCAAACTCCTGGCGCTGAAGGTGCGTTCAACGTCTTCATCTCCAAACTCCTGGCGCTGAAGGTGCGTTCAACGTCTTCATCTCCAAACTCCTGGCGCTGAAGGTGCGTGCAACGTCTTCCTCTCCAAACTCCTGGCGCTGAAGGTGCGTTCAACGTCTTCCTCTCCAAACTTCTGGCACTGACGGTGCGTTCAACGTCTTCCTCTCCAAACTTCTGGCGCTGAAGGTGAGTTCAACGTCTTCCTCTCCAAACTCCTGGCGCTGAAGGTGCGTTCAATGTCTTCCTCTCCAAACTCCTGGCGCTGAAGGTGCGTTCAACGTCTTGGGCACCTGATATGTCGCTTTAAGTCTCATGACTTACGAAGTGACAAACTGAAATAGCTGAAAGACTTAACTTACCATAGATGAAACTTACTTTTACTTACTACGACTAAACTTATATTTTTTTAGACGAAAAATATATTTTTTTCTCTTGTTACGTTTACAGCGACAGTTGACTTTGCCCGAATTAATAATAGTTTTTAATAATTGTCTCTAGGCATTCAAATATGATCTTGGATAATGTGTTTTTGGAGAAGATAACACATTCATTATCGGTGCTGGTTGCCACCCTTGAACCTTAAAAGCGTTTCACTTGTTATTGGGCATCATTTACCTATTATTATAAATCGCAAGCGTTCCAATTTAAACATATTATGATGAGAAAGTCCCTGATATTTATACATCTTTGAATCGATTAAATAATTTTTCACTTCATTTCCTAATTAAACCTTAATGCTGTAATACCCAAGGCGGTTGCTAAATAATTTTCTCAACTCATTTCCTAATTAAACCTTAATTCAATAAAAGCTGAGGCTGTTACTATAGTAAATGATCTTTTTCAAATTAAACCTTAATGCAATAAAAGCCGAGGCGGTTGCTATAGGAAACGATGTTGTTCTTCGATGAAATTCAATAAATGCCGAGGAAATGAAATGTGTTGTTTTTCACACATGCTTGCTGTGCTCAGGCTCACCCAGACCCCGAGTACAAGATCCAGAAGCGGTGTCTGGAGATCAGCCCAGCGCAGCAGTTCGGAGACAACCTCACCGTCAGCCACAGCGCCGGCAGCGCCCCTGCCTCCATCTGTCCCACCGTCCCCGTCATGATCAACTGGCATGGCCAGCGCTGTCTGCCTTCCATTAAGGTCATCATAATCATTACTTAGAATAATCATAATCTTAAATAATCATAATCATAACTTCTAATAATCATAATCATAAATAATCATAATCCCCACCGTCCCCGTCATGATCAACTGGCACGGCCAGCGATGCCTGCCTTCCATTAAGGTCATCATAATCATAACTTCGAACGTTTATCTCTTGCTATGAATATTACTTAGCGTGAACATTTCTTGTTTAGTTTAAACATTTCACCTCATATGCCATGTCGGAACTTTTTTTTCGCAGAAACGAGTAATTCTGAATATGGGTACTGGGGATTGTGTTAAATAATTATTGTAAACTGTGTTAAATAACTATTACCATCTGTTAAATGTAAATGTTGATGTGTAAATGACTATTAATATGTATTAAATGTGCGTGTTGATATACCTACTGCTGGAACAATGGCTTGTCTTTATTCCTCAGAAATAATTCAGAATATCGGTTGTAGGGATTATGGTAAATATTTATCGTAAAATTTATTAATTATAAATATTAAGATGTAATAAATGTGCGTGTTGACATAACTATTGCAGGAACAATGGCTTTTCCTTATTTCTCAGAAATAATTCAGAATATCGGTACCAGGGATTATTTTAAATATTTATCTTAAAATGTTTTAAATAACTATTAACATGTATTAAATGTAAATGTTGATGTGTAAATAGTTATTAATATGTATTCAATGTGCGTGTTGACATAACTACTACAGAAACAATGGCTCGTGGACGCGTCGGTGCAGCTGAACCACAAGCTGCGTTCAGAATATCGGTTGTAGGGATTATGTTAAATAATTATCTTAAAATTTATTAATTATAACTATTAAGATGTATTAAATGTGCGGGTTGACATAACAATTGCAGGAACAATGGCTAGTGGACGCGTCGGTGCAGCTGAACCACAAGCTGCGTCTGTCACCCCGCAACCAAGCGATGGCTCTGTACGCCATCACCCGCCTCGACATCAGCAACAACGCTCTCACCTGCCTCCCTGCCATCATCTTCTGCCTCCCCAGCCTCAGGGTGAGTCTCACCTGCCTCCCTGCCATCATCTTCTGCCTCCCCAGCCTCAGGGTGAGTGTCACCTGCCTCCCTGCCATCATCTTCTGCCTCCCCAGCCTCAGGGTGAATTTCTGCCCTTCTCTGTGCAGCTACACTGTTAGGAAAAAACGGTGAAAAAACGGCCCGCTGGCGTTCTAGTGACCGGTCGCCCCGTGAAAATAAACTGTTTCGCCGTTTTTGTCAGATATTTCACGGATTTCTAGTGTTAAATTAGAATAAAAACGGACACACGGTATTTCTTTTCACGTGTCGACCGGCCACTGAAACGCCGGTAATACCGTTAACGGTAAATTTTCCAACAGCGTAACCGCCCGCCCCTATACTCGACAATGTCGTATATATTATGTCTACTTAGCCACACGTTTAAATAACTCTTACATAGCCTCGCGTACGTCTGATTTCTACTCAGTCAAACGTTTATTTAATTCTTACTTAGCCACGCGGATGTCTAATTCCTACTTAGCCACATCGTTATCTTATTGTGTGCCTAATTCTAATCTGTCTTTATCCTCAATTCTACTATTTGAACACCCACAACATCATGTTTTATTCTCAGTGATTGCTCCTGACAATCACATGGAGATAATGATTGCTCCTGACAATCACATGGAGATAATGATTGCTCCTGGCAATCACATGGAGATAAGCGAGCTGATTGCTCCTGACAATCACATGGAGATAAGCGTGCTCCATGCTCCACAGATCCTGAACGCAGGCCTGAACAAGCTGGAGCAGCTAGCAGGTCTGGAGGAGGGGGCGCTGGCGGGGGCGGTGGACGGGGCCCTCACGCTGCCCAGGCGCGGCAGTAAATTTAAGGGCGTCCTGGCTGGCCGGTCCAGCGCCCTGGTCGTGCCCGGCTGTACTGTGTCGGTCCTCGAGGAAATACATCTGCAGGTCAGCGCTTAGAATTATACTGAATTGATCAGCTTGAATTATAATTATACTAGAAAATAGAATTCAGCTCCAGGTGGGCACGTAGAATTACACTGCAGGAGATCACGTAGAATTCACATTTTTTCGCTTTTTAGCGCATTTTCTCGATGTGGAAAAAAAGGCGCTATTGTGCTTGCCATGTCCGTCTGTCCGTCTGTCCGTGACTTCACGTTTTCGTTGGCGAGAAAATGCGCTCCCTGTCACTCACTGCAGTGACTACTGAGTTATATTTTTTCAAAACTGAAGAGTTGTGTGTTAATTGAGTTCCTTTTCTAGATGATGGTCACTGTTATGGAGAGAATTGAATTACGTTTATCTATATTTTGAATATGAAGTCATTCTGACCTCATATAACACTAATTTCAAATTTTATCAACTTAAATTTCATTTATGTAATATTAATGTCATTTTATGACTTCTTGTATTTTATTGTACTTCTATTTTGACAAACTCATGAATTGAACTTTAGATGAAAATAAATGAATTAGATGAATATTAATTTGATTTATTAGTGTACGATTCACTGTTTGAGCAGGACAACAGGCTGGACTACCTGCCAGAAGGTCTGTTCTCTCTGCCAGCCCTGCAGCACCTGGACGTGTCTAACAACAAGCTCACCAAGCTCCCCTACAAACTCTGGTCTGCACCTAAACTGCGCGACCTCAACGCCTCCATGAACCTTCTCTCATCTTTGCCAACTGCTCCAGACCTCCCATTCTCACCGTACGTCCACATCTGGTCATGTTAAATGAATTATTCATAATTTTTCATTGAGATGTCTGGTCATCTTTAAGAGATTACTCATAATTTTTCATTGAGATGTCTGATTATCTTTAAGCAATTATTCATGAGTTTTCACTGAGATAATCTTCATTTGCGACCATAATTTATAATAAGAGATTCACAAGAAATCGAAAATTTCGAGTGTCAACATGAGTGTTAGTAGAGACTAATTCTTTGTTGGAGACATTATGACTGCACTGCTTGCTGTCTGCAATAAAATATGAACGTCATATTCATACACAAAGCATTCTGGTACTAGATCTGGGTATGGTGCTGGAATTTGATTATGGTTGTATTTACATATATTGTTGGGAAAATTTCCCAACCTGGCTACTTTAAAATTACTACGAAGAAGCAGAGCGGGCTCGTCTTAAGGCAGATCCGCGGCTCTCTGCTATTATACTTGTTCTCCAGATTAAGCGGCTTTATAGACGAAGATGATCCCATAGGAGAAAGCTCCTCCGCCACATCCACGCCCAAGATACTAGCGCGCCCTGTGTCGGTCGCTAGTGTCGGGTCTGTGAAGAGCTCGACGAGTTCCATGTCTCATGACAGCGCCTTGGTGCTTGACTCTGAGGAAGATCAGGTCATCAGAAGAGCTCCTGCAGACAGCAGGACTGCAGGGTTCTCCCTGGACAAACACGGCAACGTCATCACCTGCTGCAGACAGCGAGAATTGCGTCATCACAGCTTGTGGACTCACGCGGTCAAAGTACTCTAGACAAGTCCATTTCGGGCCTTTAATTTAGCTTCAAGATCGGTCCTTTAATTTAGTCGGTCGGTCCTTTAAGCCCATGTCGGTCCTTTAATTTAGCTTTAAGATCAGAATTGCACGAGAATTGGAAATCATTTGTATCATTTATTCGTTGGTTATATTCAAATGGTATGCTCATGTAAGAGCTTTGGACCGATGAGTTTCAATTCATTTTGAAATCTCACCCCCATTTAACTGCATGTTCGATGCTAAATCTATTTCCTTATCTGCACTTTTTTCATCTGTAAAACGCTTTCCTTGTGCCTTGATGATTAAAGAGCTAGGCTGGGTAAATTTGTTCTTATTTATCTGTCATTTCCAACTTACTTCAACTGAAATTTGTATATTTTGGGCTTCAACTTTATTTAAACACGTTTGGTTAAAAAGTGGTTAACTCGTTTGGTTAAAAACTATTACTGTACCTCTTATTAGAAGGCTTGAGAGATTAAACTCAAAAGAAATTCTCAATAAAACTGGCATTATTTTTAACAAAACTTACTTCAACGTAGATTATCCTTTTTAAGGGAAAACTTAACGCGCAGGTGCAAGACTCACTGTCGGGACCTTCACAAGACGAGCGCCACGGCGACGGAGGCAGCAGCAGCAGCGGCCGTAGCGCTGGGGCGGCAGGAGGCACGTCTTGTCTGCAGAACCTGAACCTCTCCCACAACGCCTTCAGTGCACCGCCCCCTGGCCTGCCGTGCCTTGCTCTGGCCCTTAGCAGACTCAACCTCAGCTACAACAGGTGGGCTGTAAAATACAGGCATGAACTTACCGCTCAAGTTTAGGTACAACTTTTTCGCTTATATATTTGTGTTTGTTCCCTGTACTGAGATATTATAATCAACTTCATCTTGAAGCTGCTAATAAAATTTTGTTTTGGTTTATTATGGTTTAGAATCTAGCCGATTGTCTGTCTCGAACTTAGTACCTCTCAAGTTTAGGTACAACTTTGTTGCTTATATATTTGTGTTTATTCCCTTAGGCTGTATTGAAATATTATTAGCAACTTCATCTTGAAGTTCTTGAATATTTATGATTTATTATGGTTTTTCTAATCCAGCCGATTGTCTTTCGCTTCATCCAACAGATTAATTGTAAGTTTTGCCTACTTAACAAATATTATGTAAAGTAATTCAAACCTTGAAATAGATTAAAGGACATGGGGCAGGCCTGGCAATACCCAGCAGGGCTTAAGCAGCTCGACCTCAGCCACAACAACATCTCGGAATGGACCAATCTTGAGGCTAGTCCTACTGACGCAGATGTAACTCCTTGTCCCGCTGCACCTCGACACAAAACTCCACATGGTGAGTCTTCTTCATATCACTGGGGGGAACAATGAACAAAAGAAACAGGGAAGAATAATATATTTGTTGTTGGTCTTTCATGAGTGCGCCTGAAAGACTTTCTTAAGCTCCCTGAGTACTCACTTTTGACACAAGTTGTGCCTCGCTAACCATCATATCCCTGGGTATTCCAACGTAGCAGGGAACAGTATATTTGTTGTGGGCCTTTTATGAGTGTGCCTCAAAGACTTTCTTTAAGCTGCCTGCGTACCCAACTTTTGACATTTTCGTTGTGCCTCGCTAACCATCATATCCCTTGGTATTCTAAGGAAACAGGGAATAATATATTTGTTGTGAGCCTTTTATGACCGCGCCTCAAAGACTTTCTTATTAAGCGTACTCAACTTTTGACATTTTCGTTGTACCTCGCAGGTCGGTCTGGTCGCAGTCGTCCTAGCAGCTGCAGCAGCGTCAGCGGCAGCAGCACTGCAAGTACAACTGCTGCAGGAGCAGCTATACTTTGTTGTCACCGTCGCCACACCAGACTGGAGAGCCTACGGACGCTGGTACTTGCCGACAATCAGCTCTCTACCCTCACGCTTTACCTCGAGCCTCCCGAGACCCAGGAGCAAAACAACCCTGCTGACATTCCCGTTAGTTGTTATAGCTTAATTTTTAGCGCATTTTCTCATTTATGGAAAAAAGGGCTGACATTCCCGTTAGTTGTTATGGCTTAATTTTTAGCGCATCTTTTCATCTATGAAAAAGAGGCGCTATTATGCTCGTCATGTACGTCTGTCTGCGTTTGTCTGTCCGTCCGTGATTCCACGTTTTTGTCGACGAGAAAATGCGCTCTCTGTCAGTCACTGCAGTGAGTACTGAGTTATATTTTTTATCTTTTACGCTTGATATTGTTATTCATGAAATTTAGCTAGGCCGGCGCACTGAAGCAGAAATAATTTTTGTAGAATTCATTTTATGCATTAATATTTTGATATTAGCTGTATTTTGTCCCGATGATCTTGTCAACAAGTTTATATCTTTTCTCTACTAAATTGATTAAATATTTTTGTTTCACGCGAATAAACCCTTCTCTTCATGAGTAGCCATTCTGACTGTGGTGCGAACCTCACTTCGCGAAGCACAGCGGAGCAAATGTTATAATAATTTTTTATTTACAGTATATACGTCAAGGCAATTATACATATTTAGTTTAAGTTGTGTCTATTTATTAACTCAGTATTTGATGGAATATTTTTTAGTCGCAAAATTTAGTAGCCTGAGCTACTTGATTCTGCTTTGTCAGCTCCATTTCCTGATCATACAGAAATCAAATGTTGTCACATAACAGTTGAAATTATTTGCAAGAACTTAATATTATTTTGTTGGTAAATGCGACAAAATATTTGCAATGTTCATATTATGCAGACTGGCGTGAAGGGTCGTCTGGTGTTCCCCAGCCTCTCCATGCTGGACGTTAGCAACAACTGTCTGAGCGAGCTGCCTGCCTCGCTGCATCACCTCACTAATCTCGCCGTCAGTTTAACAAGCATTACCAATTATTAAGTACTAGTAATTTATATTATGAATTATTAAGTAATTAAGTATTCGTAATTTATATTCGCGGGACCAAATTCCTCTTGTAAACACTCTATTTTTTCAACAGTTCTACATTTCATTTCATCAGTACTGAGTATCCTCACTAATCTCGCTGTCAGTTTACCAAGAACTATGAATTATTAAGTTATTAAGTAATAGTAATTTATTTTCGCGGGACCAAATTCCTCTTGTGACTCCTCTGCTATTTCTTTTTTCAACGGAATTATTAAGTTATTAATTATTAGTAATTTATTTTCGCGGGACCAAATTTCTCTTGTGAACACTCTGCTGTTTCTTTTTTCAACATTTCTACTTATCATTTCATCAGAACTGTATATTTTCTGCACATTATTTACATTTTAGTGATGCTGTAACGTGGACTCAAACAACGAGTTCACTCGTTTTGTGCTTATTGTACATTTTTTATACATCACTGACAGTCAATATGCACCACATTTCAATTTAATAGTAAATGTGCCTGAAATGAAGTAATTTCAAAAGTGCATTTATCTTTTCTCACCTCGTCCATAAATTTGTTTTATGTCCTGCAGCATTGACATTAGTTTCTTCCATGACTCCTCCTTCGCCTCCTCGCTTGATGTTATTACAGGTTATTACATTAATACATAATAATACATTACATTAATACATAAATTGATGTTATTGCAGGTGCTGAACATCTCCGGCAACCCAGACGTCCAGGAGCTGCCCCCGGAGATGGGTCTACTGTCGCGGATGTGGAACCTGAACACGCGGGGCTGTTCCCTGCAGGAGCCGCTCAAGTCTATGATTGAGAGCAAAAAGTACAAGACCATGGACGTTATTGGCTACCTCAAGGTGGGGTGTTCTTTAGCTTAATAACTTACTGTTTTCTTTCTATTGAGTCGTGCTGTGTTGTTTCTGTGAGTAAAAGAATAAAGTAATAAAGTACAAGACCATGGATGTTATTGGCTATCTCAAGGTGGGGTGTTGTTTAGCTTAATAAATTACTGTTTTCTTTCTATTGAGTCGTGCTGTGTTGTTTCTGTGAGTGAAAGAATAAAGTAATAAAGTACAAGACCATGGACGTTATTATTGGCTACCTCAAGGTGGGGTGTTGTTTAGCTTACTAACTTACTTATTTTCTTTCTATTGAGTCGTGCTGTGTTGTTTCTGTGAGTGAAATAAAAAGAATAAAAAATAATGTGCGCCATTGAAATGGAAATGGGTTCAATCTTATAAAGTACAGATTTTACCTGGAATATTTGACAAGATTTTGGAATTAGCTTCTAAAATATGTTTCAAATCTGTTTTGAAAGTTCGTTTCGTTAGTTTGATCTGGTATCGAGTTTTATAAGAAACCAAAACGTTTATTTTGGGTCACTTTTTAAAAGTTAAAATTGCTGAATTTACGATGTCATCATATATTCTCTGGTTATTATATTACTTATTATATATTATCATTCCAATATTATTAGAATAATAATTTATAATTCAATTAATAAAACTAATAATTATAATGAAAAACAATTATTCAAATAATAATAATATTCGCAAGGTCGAATATTAAGTTCGACCTTGCGAAATATTATAACATTAATTTTTGGTTGGCTCTTGGGTTGAGGACTTGGTACAAGTTTCTAATTCCTGCATTTTGGTTCTTATTTTTAGCGCATTTTCTCATTTATGCAAAAAATGCGCTATTGTGCTCGCCATGTCCGTCCGTCCGTCCGTGACTTCACGTTTTCGTCGACGAGAAAAAGCGCTCTCTGTCACTCACTGCAGTGAATGGCTACCTCAAGGTGGGGTGTTCTTTAGCTTAATAACTTACCATTTTCTTTCTATTTCTATTTTTTATTATTTTTTTTTCTACTTTTTTTTATTTTATTTTTCTTTCTATTGAGTCGGGCTAAGTTGCTTCTGTGAGTGAAAGAATAAAGAATAATATGTTCCATTGCAATGTAAATGGGTTCGATCTTATTAAAGTTCAGATTTTACCTCGAATATTTCATAAGATTTTGAAATTAGCTTCTAAAATATGTTTCAAATTTGAAACATTTTTGTTAGTTCGATCTGGTTCTGAGTTTTATAAGAAACCAAAACGTTTATTTTGGTTCACTTTTTTAAAAGTAAGAACTGCTGAATTTACAATGTCGTCGAATATTCTCTAATTATTCGACTTTTCATGGCTTGCTAAATATAATAACATTTATTTATGGTTTATTGGCTTTTGGGTTTAGGACTTTGTATAAATAGTTATTTAATAAAAAAATTATTTTCAATAATTGTTTGTACATAGAGCATCCTGGAAGACGCGCGTCCGTACGCACGCATGAAGCTCATGGTCGTGGGCGTAGCAGGCATCGGCAAGACCTCGCTGCTGGAGCAGCTGCGTCAGGAGGGCACAGGCTCCTACAGGAAGAAACCTGTCGAGGTGATAGAATAGAATAGAAGTGTCGGCACTGAAGAAATAGGCCCATGGCCTGTTGCCGATTCTTGAATTTTTCGTGACTTGATTCACAAGGGATCCGGCCTTTGGAACCCGATCTTTCCATAGCTGACGATTGATTGAGATAGCTGCTGGACTTATTGCCTGGTCCGTAATTTGCTAGGCATTTTAAGACTGAACATATGCTCCTGCATAGCTTCGTCTAGTCTGTTCTTGAAGATGTTCATACTCGGAACAGCCTCCCTATCAGGGAGGCTGTTCTACATGTCGAGGTGATGCCTTCACCATACAAGTGTCGCCCCAGTATATTAGTATTGCGGCTGTGATGGTGCAATTCAATATGATTTCATCATATGCTAGTTGCTTGCTACGGGATATATTCTTGCCAAAAAATAAGTATGGAACTTGTATTTCTGTTCCGTTGCTATTTTCGGTTCCCAAAAAAGACATGGGCAATTATGTGCTTCTCATTTATTATTTTATGAAAATAATCGTAACATATTTCTGCTCAATAATCACGCAAAGAAATTAAGAATAAAATCTCTCTTTAATAAATGAGCCGCATCAAATTATCTCTTCCTTCTCAGTCTACTTTCTACTCATTTTTACTGTGCAAGATGAAGTCATTTCTGTTCTATGTACTAATTACATCAATTACTTTTTGTTTTATACGAATGTTCAATCAACGTATGTGTTTCTGTTCTATATGCTTAATAAACTAATTACTTTTCGTTTTATGCTGGCATACAACCTACATATAAGTTGCACGCATTATATTGTGTGTTATGCGTGCCTAATATACGGTATTGTATACGGTATTGCATACGGTATTATATACGCGTATTATATACGGTATTATATATGCGTATTATATACGTTATTATATCCGCGTATTATATACGGTATTATATACGCGTATTAAATACGTTATTATATCCGCGTATTATATACGGTATTATATACGCGTATTATATACGGTATTATATATGCGTATTATATACGGTATTATATACAGTATTATATACAGTATTATATACGCGTATTATATACAGTATTATATACGCGTATTATATACAGTATTATATACGGTATTATATACGGTATTATATACGCGTATTATATACGCGTATTATATACGGTATTATATACGGTATTATATACGGTATTATATACGCGTATTATGTACGGTATTATATGCGTGTATTATATACGGCATTATATACGGTATTATATCTCCGTATTATATACGGTATTATATACGGTATCATACACGGGTGCAGCACTGGACTGCGCGCATGGGCAACCGCCACATGAGCACACGCACGGCGCGGGGCGGCAACATGTCCACCGTGGGCGTGGACATCGGCGACTGGACCTACGAGAAGAAGGTCCGCGGCCACAGCAGCCATGGTCCTGTCGTCTTCAGGTCAGTCACGCCTTTTACTGCCTTTTACTGTCTTTTACTTCCTTGAACTTACGATTAATTCTCCGGAGAAAGGGCAGCGTATAAATTAGGCTAATTATCTATTATTAACTGCGGTCGTGCCTTGTATTTCCTTCAACTTTGGATTAAATCTTTGTAGAAAAGGTAGCGTATAATTTATATTAATTAACCATTTTTAAGTGAGGAAAAAAGTGTGTGGCAACAAGGTTATTAGTGTTGTAAATTTATGTCCTGCCTTGAATTTGTATCAAGTTTTTCTTGTTTAAGCCAAGCTTGAACCTTCAGAAACATCGGCTCACAACAGAACGCATTACCGTCAAGTGGGGTGACTTCGGCCACCACTACAATAGAAACAAGTGGCAGCAAAACAAAATAATAAACGTTAGCCAAAGTCACCTCGGTGGCCGAAGTCACCCCACTTGACGGTACCTTTGGCATGTTTAGCTTCTCAGGAACTACTTCAATTAATATTAGTATGAGATTACACGTGGCCTGGGACTGCTACGTCCGAAACAAATGCCAAGGATACTAAGGATACTAAAAACAGTAAGGATACTAAGGATACAAAGGCGTGCAGGACGTGGGACTTCGGTGGCCAGCAGGAGTACTACGCGACGCACCAATATTTCCTGTCGAAGCGCTCCCTCTACCTCGTCGTCTGGAAAATTACTGATGGCGAACGCGCCATTGACCACATACTGCAGTGGCTCGTCAACATCCAGGTCAGCAATCAAGTTTTTGCTTTCTTCTATTTCCTATTAAAGTCGTTCAAAAATTGGTTGCTGGGCCCGGGGGGTGATTTTAAATACGGATAACGATAATCGGTTAAAAATGGTATTTCTTCTAATTTTCGCAACTTGCAAAATATTTTGATCGTACCCTAGCGCTATTTATGAAATGCCATCTAATTTTCGCGTCTTGCAAATTTATATTGATAAGCTAGCGTTATTTATAAAATACTATCTTAATTAATCGTTTTACCTGTAGTCGAATCTCCTACCCAGTGAAAATTTACAGACGCGGCAGCTTCTGATTTGGATTACCATAAGCTGATGCGACTCTAAATTTTTTTAGGGTATACGGTTCCTAAATGATTCGCTTTTGGTCTCAGGCACGCGCGTTATTTATGAAATACCATCTGAATGAATGGTTTTACCTGTAGTCAAATCTCCTGCACGCTTCCTAAATGAATGAGGTGCTGTATGAATAAATGAATAAATTCCAATTTCTATGTGCGATGTACTGTATAAATAAATAAATACGGCGCTTCTTGGTCCCAGGCCCGCTCGCCGATCTCAGCCGTGCTGATATATATGAAATGCCATCTGAATTGTTTAACCTGGAGTCAAATCTCCTATGCACTTCCTAAAATACGCGTTTTGGTCCCAGGCCCGCGCGCCGAACTCAGCGGTGCTGATCGTAGGCACGCACTACGACCTGGTACGGCAGCAGCTGCCGCCCTCGTGGAGCGAGGACCTGCAGCNAATGAGCCGGTGTTTTTCAGCTGTAAATATGCCGTTCTTTCTATACTGAACCTCCAATTGAAATATACTGACATATATTGTCCTGTAACCTTCATTTGATTTTTTTTTTATCCAGTTATTAGCTGCTCACCGGAGTTGTTTGTAAGTGATTCGAACCTAGCTTGGCATCTGCAAAGTTTCGTTTTAACAGGCATTTGCCATAAAAGTCGCAGGCCTGTGCCATAATAGTCGCAGGCCTGTGCCATAAATGTCACATGCCTGTGCCATAAATGTCATAGGCATGTACCATAAAAGTTATAGGCATGTGCCATAAAAGTCGCAGGCATGTACCATAAAAGTTATAGGCATTTGCCATAAAAGTCACAGGCCGGTGCCATAAAAGTTATAGGCATGTGACATAAAAGTCGCAGGCCTGTGCCATAAACGTCACAGGCATGTACCATAAAAGTCACAGGCCTGTGCTATAAAAATCATATGCCTGTGCCATAAATGTCCCATGCCTAAGCCATAAACGTCCCAGACATGTACCATAAAAGTCACAGTCCTGTGCTATAAAAATCATATGCCTGTGCCATAAATGTCACATGCCTGTGCCATAAACGTCACAGGCCTGTGCCATAAAAGTCACAGGCCTGTGCCATAAATGTCACATGCCTGTACCATAAATGTCACAGGCATGTACCATAAAAATCACAAGCCTGTGCCATAAAAGTTATAGGTCTGTGCCATAAAAGGCATAGGCCTGTACCATAAAAGCCACAGGCATGTGTCATAAAAGTCACATGCATGTGCCATAAATGTCATATATTTCCACAGCAAACATTTTGGAAGCTTCTTAATCGGAATATCGTTTGTTCTGTAATTAATCGTTTATTCACAATGTCCATTTCTTATTCAGAAGCTTTTTATCGTATTTCTCTATACCTATCGTATAGGGAAAAAAGACGCTATTGTGCTCGTCATGTCCGTCCATCCGTGACTATACGTCCGCGATTCCACGTCACGGACGGACGAAAAAATGCGCTCTCTGTCACTCACTGCCCTGAGTATAATTTTTTCTTTTTATAGGCGCATGGGAATCATGCGACAGTCTCCAGCGACACCTCCACTGACGCGGCCCAGGGGCCTGGAGGTGTCCGGCTGGTGGCCGCGCCCTTTGCTCCCGTTGAAGGAAGGGCGGCGGACGGAGGAGCCTCGCCTGCTCGTCTCAGGAGGAGCTTTGACTCGCGGGGCAGCGCTGCTTCTGACCGCGACAGTGGCGTCGATCCTGACTCGAATGCGTCCAGGTATATGTCTATGTAACGTAAGTAATATGTCTATGTAACGTAGGTAATATGTCTATGCAACGTATTTTATCTGGAATTTGTTGGGATTGGTATCGTAGCTATTCATGTTTGAACATTTCAGGGTTATGCTTAAGTGTGGCATATTCTTACCACGCCGATCTTTTCTCCAAAATTAATAAGTTATAAGTATAAATAGCATCTGTTTTTTCTTGGAATTTTTTCTTCTTCAACGTTTCCGATATCTTTACTGATCACAGACCTCCTTGGGACTGTACTGTTTCGACACTAACTTATCTGCATAAAATTCAGTTTCTGAACTTTCCTTATAGATGCACTTACTTCCATGTCTTTTCCCGCTGGTCCATTGCAGATCTACCAACAGCTCATTATGTATGCGACTACAAAACTTTTACTTGCAAATTTATTCTACAGTCGCAACCCATCGGCTGAAGGGCGACCTGACGTCCTAGGTGAAGCAGGATGTGAGGTGGCAAGTCAGGAAGTGACCCTCGTAGTGTACAGCTTCATGGTGGAGGAGTGCATCCTGGCAGCGTACACGCCGCCCCCTGCACTCTCTNGGCATCCGATATTAGGTTATAATAATATTGCTTTTTTATCGAATGCATATAATCAATAATTTTTCTACGAGTTAGTCCATGCTGTTATCTCGCAGGATGAAGCATTAAATGCTCTTTAAATACCTTCCCTTGAAAAATATTCTATAACTAAATAGGCTAATGCTTCTCAGCAGATCGTGTGATAATATTTGATTGATGCAGTTCAAGTCATAAGTTGTTCATTGTAGGCTTGCGTGAGTAAGTGGGAGCGCGACCCTCTACAGTACGCGTGCAAGGCTTACTGCTGCGCTCGTCAGGAGGTCAACATCCTTCTGTCCCTCCGTCACTCGAACATCGTGCCCTTCGTAGGCGTGTGTCTTCGTCCTCTTGCCCTCGTGCTCGAGCTTGCCCCCCAAGGAGCCCTGGACCAGTGCCTTAAACACTACAGGAGGAGTGGCGCTCGTCTCGATGTTCGCACCCTGCAGACACTCGTACTACAGGTGCGACTGGAATGTTGTATCCTTTTTACATGTATTATGTACTTATTTCCTCCAAAATTTCAGTAATTAATGCTTCTTCTAACTTGAAAATGAATGTTTGTTGCATTCGAAACGTCGTTAATAAACAAAAACTACTTCCCGAAACTTGCCTTTTAATCTACTGTCATCTGAAGAAAAGTTCCACTCCCTGATAATATAAATCATAATGTTTTCTGGGTAATTACATCTATGTTCTACTTAAAGTTCCTGCAATTTATGTTTAAGGTAAACAACATAGATGAGAACGTAATTTAAAAATAGTTGTCAAGACACATTTGACATCTTAGCAAAGTGAAAACTTATTTTAAACATAATTACCAAGACACATTTGACATCTTAGCAAAGACGAATGACCGTCACGAATGCGCTGTAATTTTGATTGTTGGATCAAATGGATGAAAACTTAATTTAAACGTAATTATCAAGACACATTATACATCTTAGCAAAGACGAATGACAGTCACGAATGCGCTGTAATGTTGATGGTTGTGCAGGTGGCTAAGGCTCTGGAATATCTGCACGGACAGCACATCATCTACCGCGACCTGAAGAGTGAAAACGTGCTCGTCTGGGAGCTCCCCCAGCCCTTCTCTTCCCAACGACACCCACGAGTGGACGTTCGGCTTGCTGATTATGGTATCTGTTTTATAATATACTGATTAATAAGAAAATTGTTAATAAAAAGTACGCTCTGGTCTTCAATCAAACCTGCATAAATTACGGTATCTGTACACGATTATTTGTGACTACTTCCTGAAACTTGCCTTTCAATCTGCCGTCATCTGAAGAATTGTTCCACTCTCTGATAATTTGAATCAAAGAATTGTCTGGTCATCAATTGCACGTGTATTAGTGAACGCATAATTTATGCCCAATTACTTGTAAGATGTTTTTCCTAAGGCACACGAACATTCATCTTATTTATCTGTTCACTAGTGTAGGCTCGCCTATTTTAAAATACTCAGGATAGAAGTTTTGCTCAGAGATTACTTTGGCTAACCACATTCTTCTATTTTGAGTGATCACAATAATCAAGGTGATGGATTCCAATAAATAGCTATTATAATAATGTTGAACATAACCAAAAGGTTTGAAGATCCAATACTTACAATCAAACTGAAAAAGTTAGAACAGAAAGATCATTATTAATTTGTTTCTCAGTAGGTAAGCACTTAATCAGCATTTTTGATTGATCTTTGATTTCATATATACTCACAATGGAACTGAAAAATTCAGAACAGAAAGCACATTAATAATTTGTTTCTCAATAGGTAAGCAGTTCAATTAGCGTTTTTGATCGATCTTTGATTTTTTAACCATTACTTATAGTTTAAATGCCTACTAGACACTTAACTGAGTTATAAATTCGACTATCAGGCATAAGCCGTGCCAGCCTGCCGAGTGGCACTAAAGGCTTCGGCGGCACTGAAGGCTTCATGGCACCTGAGATGATGCGCTTCAACGGCGAGGAGGAGTACACTGAGAAGGTTAGCCGCGAACCCAGCAGAAAAAGCCGAATTATTGACGTGCGACTCAGCAAAAGTGTCGACGCAGGTTGCATCCCAGCACAAACACCTCCCGTTAGCAAGAAACAAACGATGGCAAAATTCAAACAATTTTCAGGAGCAAAACAATATTGTTAGGTCCTAATGAATACGTTTACCAAGTTTCATCGAGTTACGTTTGAGAGATATTCCTTGATCATTGAATTTGGAAATTGACCGCGAGACCGGCCGTTAATTTGTCCGAGACGTAAACCCAGGAGAGGTTAAAAAAAGATCTAGATGAAAAAACCATCGCTGGGAGTCATGTGCCGCACGTGTTGTGTACAAGCCGTCAAACAAACGTTGGAACTTCTGACATTGATTTTGGACTGCCGCCCCCCTATCGCCCCCCCTACCGCCCTCTTCTTCCTTACCGCCCCACAAAATCATTCCACCGCCCCTAGGGGGGCGATATCGCCCACTTTGGGAATAACTACTCTACATCTTATTGTCACAAATGCAACTGATTGCAGGAGTAATGAAGTTAGACGACCTGGAACACCTGTTTAAGAGATCATACATACACTATTTGAACCTTATCGCTCTATCTCTTATTAACATGAATAAAATAACTTTCAGGAGTGATGAAGCTAGAAAACTTGATGCACGTGTTCAAGAGATCATACATACACTCTTTGGACCTTATCGCTCTGTTATTAACATGAATAAAATAACTTTCAGGAGTAATGAAGCTAGACGACCTGAAGCACGTGTTCAAGGGTTCCTCGTGCGCGCCAGTGGACGCGAAGTCGTACATTGTTTCCCTGCTGAACAAGTTTGAGGTCGCGCTCACATGGGACAACCGCACGCTGCTCATCCCCAGCCTTCTGCCCTCCATGGAGCAGCTCAGGGCCGCTCCCAACGGCGCCGACATCCGCGTCAGGGTTAGACTTGAATGAATTATTTACTATTACAAATTATTGTATTCACGTAATGCGTTTCTGTCGGTAAGACAATGCTTAACCCTCTACCGCCGTATGCCACTCTCCGGGAACATAACTTTCAACTTAAATTATACGTAAACTATTGAGTGTAGCCACCTGAAGACGTTTGTACGCAACAGAGAACATTTTTATGTATGTGTATGTGGCGGCAAACATCAGTGAAAGTCATGTTGCGCTCACTAGCAATGTATCCTGTTTGTGAAGGAGGCTTGTGACAATATTGCTCCGGTTACTCATGACAGGCGGTAGAGGGTTAAGACATTCTCTTCGAAGTATAAAGTAATATCGCAGCTAAACAAGAGGGTTTTTTGTGCAAAAGTTAATGATAATAAGCTTAGAGACATAGGAACGAAAATTTCGACTGCAATAATGCTGTGAGGATAAAAAGATTCAAATGAGAAAAGGAAGTTTTGAACGAGGATAGAAATATTTAAACTAATCAAAAAGGTGTCATTAAAAATTTTGAAAATCTAAACAAATCAAACAATTTTGAATGAAGAAAAAAAATTTGAAGTTAAAAATAAAGTTAATCGAATGAAGTTACACATATTCAAACCAAGATGTAATGTCTCGAATGACATTAGAGATATTTGAACGAAAATATTTGTACGTTGCTAAAAAACAAACTTGCGTGTGGAGCTAAAAATATCAACACGGAATAGAAGCTGCGCGTCGAATTAAAAATATCAACACAATAGATACAAACACACAATAATTAATATCAATAAAAGCTCGGCCGTTGCCCCCAGATCCCGCTGCGCTGCCGTGGCTGGGCCGCCCGCAACAAGCGCTTCTCCGGCCTCTGCAGCGCCGCCCTCTCCGTCGCCCCCAGCGCCCCTCCTGTGGACGATGGCCGCGCCCCTGGCAGGAGTACGACCCTCACTTCCCTCTGCATCAGTGAGTAGAACTACGGCCCTCACTTCCCTCTGCATCAGTGAGTAGAACTACGGCCCTTACTTCCCTCTGCATCAGTGAGTAGAACTACGGCCCTCACTTCCCTCTGCATCAGTGAGTAGAACTACGACCCTTACTTCCCTCTGCATCAGTGAGTAGAACTACGGCCCTTACTTCCCTCTGCATCAGTGAGTAGAACTACGGCCCTTACTTCCCTCTGCATCAGTGAGTGGTGACCTGCAGCAGTGAGTTGTGACCTGCAGCTGCTTGTTATGACCCCGCTAGTTATCACTAATTCGTCTTAATCTAGTTTATTATTTATAATCATTAGTAAATATCACTTTTAATTCATCTTTGCGGTCACATTCAAGTTGCTCTTCAATTGAAAAAAGTCAATTTAAATGTTCATAATAATGGTTAAAGTCTTGCGTCGTAGTGAAAGTTGAAGCAAATTATTTCAATTTTTTTTATTATTTTTTATTTTTTCATCAGACTCGCAGGTCTCAATTTTCTTTAAACTTAAATTTTTTTCAAAAATTTCTGCAATTGCAACTTTTGCTTTTACACCTCGCCATTCCTGAGGCTTGCTTTTACTTTATCTAATTCTTGCATCCAGACTAGTTTCAGTTTTTAATTTATTCATTTATCACAATGTATGTTAAATTCTCGACGCTTCACATGGTAAAACAAGTACAAATTCTGAAGGGTTTGGAAATGACAATAAGTAATTAATGAACAATAAACAATTAAAAATGCAGAAAATCAACGAAAATAAGGATTAATTAACATTTTAAATGTTAATTAGGCAGCCCCCAGCCTGAGGGTGTTCTTGACACGACTACTGACGGTGAAATGAGCGACTCCCTGAGATCCACAGTGCGACTCAGCCATCAGTTGCTCTTTCTTTATCTAATTCTTGCATCCGGACTAGTTTCAGTTTTTAATTTATTCATTTATCACTAATGATGTCAAATTTTTGACGCTTCACTCTTTTGTGTTCAGGTAGCCCCCAGCCTGAGGGTGTCCTGGACGCAACTACTGACGGTGAAGTGAACGACTCCCTGAGATCCACAGTACGACTCAGCCATCAGTCCTCGCCGCTGTCAGCCATCAGACGTCTCCTGCTCATGTCTTACTTCCCGTCGGGGTTCTGGTCACGACTCATCACGCGCATTCTGGCTGACGACGCAGTCGCTGATGTCGTACGCGCATACTTCGTCCTCCCGCCAGAGGTGCGCACGGTCCTAACAATGGAGGTTGTCATAGTATAGTATTGTATAGTATAGTATAGTATAGTATCTTCGGCATTGAACAATAGGCCTGGATAGGCCTGTCGCCGATTCTTGTACTTGAATTGTACGCCGATTCATCACTTGAACCATGGATTTTGTGTACATCAATGATTTATTTATGAGATTTTTTTATATGCGATATTAAATGATATTTTTATGCATACTTCAATGATTTTTGCAAACTTGAATGATTTTTTTATGTAGCATAAACATTCAATGCAATATTACAGAGGCACTCAGCTTTGTAATCCAAGCTCTGAAATGCAAATTCGTCTCGCATGAAAAAGAATATTTTCGGAATTACAACATGGTCTCTACCTCAGTTCTTTAATGTTAGATTCACATTAACACTCTAATACCCGTAATTTTCTATTTCATTTTTTTTTCTCAGTCCAAACTATATATTAACTCGATCTGAAGCTCTAAAAATTGTCGCTGGATCTGAAGCGCTAAAAATTGTTTCTCGATCTGAAGTGCTAATAATTGTGCCACTGAACTACTTAACCAACGAACTTTTGACTGAATACATTCAGTTGGTTTATAATATATTTAATGTTACAGGTGACGTGTGATGGGGATGTGAGCAGCGTGCTGGGAGGAGGAGGATGTGGGGAGTGGCTGTGCTGGCAGTCGGGTCTGGAGCTGCGCTACGGCAGCACCACGCTACTCAGGATCGCTGAGAGCAACGCTGCGTCTGGTCGTTCTTCTTCCCCTGCAGCTACTGCCGCGGTGAGTGTCCTCAATTATACATACTTTAACTTAAGATGAGTTCGGGACTTCCTAGTCCACGGTCACGCTGATGCGCCGCCTTCGTCGTCCTCCGACTCCAAGTCGTCGTCAGGCAGGTCGCCCCGCCCTCGGGTCCGGATGTAACGTAGCAGCATACAAGGTAGGCTGATTTATATTTTTTCATGTGTACAATGTTTTATTTGCTTCACATTTACAAATTTCTTGATCTTTCTCATTACTTATGAACAGAATATTTCTTGTATTTTACATTCTTATTTTTGTTGGTCATTCGTTGTTGATATTTTGTTGGTCATCCGTTGTTCTCCTGAACTCGTCTTGCCATTATTAAAAATTGCGTTTCCAGTCTACGATGAACATCAATAATAAAGTAACAATATTTACGACTTATAAGCTACGAAGTACTATTGATGACTAACAAGCTACGGTGTAATATTAATAACTAATGTATAGTACATGAGCTCTTTTTATGTTACAGAGCGGCCGCGGTAGGAGATCCGTCTCACTGGACAAAGACTACCACGGCATGCGCTTCCTCGTGAAGCAAGAGGGCGTCTGGTCTGATGTGGAGGTAAGTTTTAAGCTTACTAATAGCTACCTCTTATATCTCTAGCTACCTCTAAAACTTACCTCTACGTGCAAGAAAGTTTTAGGGTAGCTACTACTTAGGCTGATCTTGTAGCGAGTGCCCTTGTACGCCATAAGTCGTACGAGATTTTGTGCTTCCGGTCTTTATTCCTGTGGCAATACTTTCAAAACTCGCTAAGTCTATATTCTTGTCTATAATTGGTGGATTTTGCTTGTAAGGCCGTCAATGATTGGCTGATGAACTTACGATCTCTCAACCTTTTTGAAAGTATAGGCCCTGGTCGCCTTGATTCTCAACTCGTAGTGTCGGATTGTGGGTCTCAGATTTGGGACTCCCTGGTTATGTTGCTGATATTACTTACACTTGCATCTTCTGTCTCTCTGTCATGTAGGCGACAACCGTCTTGTATGTCACTCGTTTTGTGAAAAAAATTCTCGCTTCCATTGTTATTTACTTCACTTTCACTGTGGACGGTCAGAGAAGCTATTCACTTGAACCCAATTTTTGCTGTCATTTCACTTTTCCCAGTCCTTATAAATCCCAATTTAATTTTCTGCCCTCAGATTAAGAATTCAGCTGTGCTCGAAGTATTGCTACCAAACGAGGCGGTGGTACTTCGCCGGTGTGTTCCTGCCGACGGCGACGCTGCTGGGGACGGACATGACGAACCTCCGACCAGCCTTGTGAGCGAGGCGTCTGGCAGTGACAGCGGAGGGCTGGCAGAGGGCATCCAGAGCGTGGTGCTGGACCCGGCGCCTGAGTGCGTGGCCAAACTCCTGGCCATCGCCGTCGACCACATAGATACCCTGCTGGAGGACTGGTCGGTGGCTCATAGTGCAGCTATATTAGCGATAACAGAATGGCAGTGATGATAACAGAACTATTATAATATGGCAGTAATAAGAATGAAGACAATCAGGTGTATTGCCAGTATAAAGAAATTTTAATTAGTCAAGCTTTCCCTCTGTCATTCAGGCCTATACTTTCAAAAAAGTTAAGAGATCGTAAATTCATCAGCCAATCATTGACGGCCTTTCAAGCAAAATCCACCAATCATAGACAAGAAAATAGAGCGTAAGTACTTACGATCATTTAGCGAGTTTTGAAAGTATGGCCCCTGGCAGGGAATTAATTCATGCTGCGCATGTTTGTTTAGTTTATCGGGGAACATAGGAGAGAACACTTTCCCGAAGATGCTTAGTGATAATTGAAGAACCTTCTACTTGGTTCGTGCTTAGTGTTCCTCCAATATGCTGAGTTATACCAAAAGGGCACGTGACCTCAGGTACCCGACGTTGGGCACTCGCTTCGTGCACACAAGTGAAGGCAATGACGACACTTTCCCGATGATGTTTAGTGATAATTGAAGACCCTTCTACTTGGTTCGCGCTTTGTTTATCCAATATGTTCAGTTATGCCACATTATATACAGTTATGCCGCAATATGTTGAGTTATGCCACAAGGGCACGTGCCCTCAGGTACCCAACGCTGGGCACGCGCTTCGTGCACACAAGTGAAGGCAAGCTGCTGATCACGCGCCTCCTGCCGTGCCCGGTCTGCCTCGAGTGCCACGGCCAAACGCTGCTACCTCCTAACCTGCGCTCAGCTCTACCTGATTCCTGGGGCTCCTTCGTGGAGCTGAACCCGCTCTACTGCTCCATGACAGGCTCCATAATGGCTGCACATGTGAGCGTCATATTCGTGGTATTATATGTAGCAACCCGCTCTACTGCTCCATGACAGGCTCCATGATGGCTGCACATGTGAGCGTCATCGCGGTATTATGTTGAAACGTGGAGAACATATGTTGATGTATGTTTTCAGTCTGACCTTTAGATATTGCTTCAGATTTGTCATCTGTATCGATTGAGCTGATGATTTCACATGTTAATGGGATATAGCTATTATTTACCAAATTCAAATGATGAAATGAAATATTTCCACAGCAAACATTTTGGAAGCTTCTTAATCGGAATATCGTTTGTTCTGTAATTAATCGTTTATTCACAATGTCCATTTCTTATTCAGATCTTTTTAGCGCATTTTCTCATATAGGGAAAAAAAGACGGTATTGTGCTCGTCATGTCCGTCCATCCGTGACTAGACGTCCGTGATTCCACGTCACTGACGGACGAAAAAATGCGCTTTCTGTCACTCACTGCATTGAGTACCGATCTAATTTTTTCTTTTCGTAGGCGCATGGGAATCATGCGTCAGTCTCCAGTGACGCCTCCACTGACGCGGTCCAGGGGCCTGGAGGTGTTCGGCTGGTGGCCGCGCCATTTGCTCCCGTTGAAGGAAGGGCGGCGCCCTTTGCTCCCGGTGGCACTGCTGACGGAGGAGCTTCGCCTGCTCGTCTCAGGAGGAGCTTTGACTCGCGGGGCAGCGCTGCTTCTGACCGTGATAGTGGCGTCGATCCTGACTCGAACGCTTCCAGGTAATATGCTAATGCAACGTAGGTAATATGTCTATGCAACGTAGGTAATATGCTAATGCAACGTAGGTAATATGTCTATGCAACGTAGGTAATATGTCTATAGAACGTAGGTAATATGTCTATGCAACGTATTCTATCTCGAAATTTGTTGGGATTGTTATCGTAGCTATTCATGTTTGAACATTTTCAGGGTTATGCTTAGTGCGCCATATTCTTACCATTCCAATCTTTTCTGCAAAACTAATAAGTTATAAGTATAGATAGCTTCTCTCTAAAATCGATGGTATATTATGTTTTTTTTTTCTTTGATTTTTTTTTCGAAAATTTCCGATATCTTTACTGATCACAGACCTCCTTGGGACTGTACTGATGATTCGCTCATATTTCGACACTGACATGTGTGCATGTAATTCAGTTTCTGAACATTCCTTATAGATGCACCATGGCTTTTCCGTGGCTTTTCCATACTGGTCCATCGCAGATCTACTAACTGCTCACTATATATGCGACTACAAAATCTTTTACTTATAATTTATTCAACAGTCGCAACCCATCGGCTGAAGGGCGACCTGACGTCCTAGGTGAAGCAGGATGTGAGGCGGCAAGTCAGGAAGTGACCCTCGTAGTGTACAGCTTCATGGTGGAGGAGTGCATCCTGGCAGCGTACACGCCGCCCCCTGCACTCTCTTGTCCTCTACACGGGCCTCTTCTACTCGCTCAGATCGCGCCCGATACGGTTCGTCTTGTCTTTTTAGCGCATTTTCTCAATTATGGAAAAAATTACCTATTGTGCTCGCCATGTCCGTCCGTGACTTCGCGCTTTCGTCGACGAGAAAATGCGCTCTCTGTCACTCACTGCAGTGAGTACTGAGTTATATTTTTTGTACTTATGTCATCAAATAAAATAGCCCCACTACTCTCCTGTCCTCTACACGGGCCTCTTCTTCTCGCTCAGATCGCGCCTGATACGGTTCATCTTGTCATTTTTTTGATATGTCATTAAATAAAATGAAATATATATTGACCCCATATCATAAAATGAAATATTTCCACAAAAAATATTTTGGAAGTTTGCTAATCGGAAGATTGTTTGATCTGTTAGTAATCGTTTAGTCACAATGCCCGTTTCTTATTCAGAAGCTTTTTTCATTTTGTAATTTTTGATGTCAATATATGTCAACATCGGTCATTGCTAATTTTAATTCAGGCTGAGAATTTCCTCCCTCCTGAAATTTCGTATTTCGTTTGGTCCCAAACAAACTATTGGAGTTTTCACAAGGGAATCTTGTTAGCGATTTTTAATCCGTGCCATCAATAGTGTAAATGAACGAGAATTTATAATAGTAGTGGTGATATCTAACCCCCATAGGGCACTGTTTGACTATGGTCACTGTTTGACTCGTTCACCCCTGAAACTATGCACTTCTATAGTAATGAATGAATTATTTCTCGAAAACTTGGCCGACACAGTTTATGTATCCTAGTGAACGCTTGCAATAATTATACAGCCAATGTTTTCTCACCTCTTATCTGCGTTAAACGCTCGCAGCAGTGTTCATGATCGTTAAATCATGCAGTATCAGAGTGCGCTAGCCGATTTATGTCGAGTTTATACTTCACTGCTCGGCAATATTTGTTTTTAGCTTTTAGTTCCCATGTGACCATGAAAGTTTATATAAGTTGATCTTACAATTCATGTGCTGCACAAATGGTGATGGTGTTGCTTCTCGTACTCGTACAGCCAGGGAACTCTACGCCAGGTTGGCGGACTGGTATTGTTCTTAACAATACACGAGTGCTTGGTTTATTTGATGTTGATAAACTCACAGAAGTTTGCAGTATTTGAGTCTCGACTACACGAGAAAGATCCCGGATTGTCCAGTAATGGAAAACTACCCTCAGCAAGTGACAAGCACCAGCATCTTGCATCAGCTGGCCTATAGGAGGGCAAATATATGGAACACGTCCAACGTTACATCCGGGACCCGAGGGCGGGGTGACCTGCCTAGCGACGACTCGGAGACGGAGGATGACGAAGGCGGCGCATCAGCGTGACCGGGGACTAGGAAGTCCCAAATTCATCATAAGGTCATAAGGACGTGTGTTGTGCAGGTGTTCCTGGACCTTTGAGACCAGCACCTGTTGTAAACGGAAGACGACGAAGGCGGAACATCAGCGTGACAGGGGACTAGGAAGTCCCGAACTCATCATAAGGTCTTAAGGACGTGTGTTGTGCAGGTGTTCCTGGATCTGGGAGAACAGCACCTGGTGGCACCTGATAGCGTACAGCAGGGCAAGCTGTTGGGGCGCGGAGGTTTTGGCTTCGTCTTCCAAGGGACCTGTCGCCATCGCAGCAACGGCGGGCCCCTGGACGTCGCCCTCAAGATGCTGCAGCCTGTTGATCCCGGGCATGGGGCACGGCAGTCTGCCGTACAGGCTTACAAGGTCACTTTTATTTAACGGCAAACTTTTTTGAAGGCATCCGATATTAGGTTATAATAACGTCGCACTTTTTGAAGGCATCCGATATTAGGTTATAATGACATCGCTTGTTTTATGGAATGCATATAATCAATAATTTTTCTATACAGGCTTACAAGGTCACTTTTATTTTAACATGAAACTTTTAACTAACTTTTAATTTTTTAAGTTAAAAGTTAGTTTTTTCAACTTTTACTTTGGGCATCCGATATTAGGTTATAATAACATCGCTTGTTTTATCAAATGCTCATTAATAAATAATTTTTCTACGAGTTAGTCCATGCTGTTATCTCGCAGGATGAAGCATTAAAGGCTCTTTAAATACCAACCTTGATAAATATTCTAGAACTAAATAGGCTAATGCTTGTCAGCAGATCGTGTGATCATAAATGATTGATGCAGTTCATGTCATAATAACTAAATAGGCTAATGCTTCTTAGCAGATCGTGTGATCATAATTGATTGATGCTGTACATGTCATAATATGTAATAACTAAATAAGCTAATGCTTCTCAACAGATCGTGTGATCATATTTGATTGATGTTGTACATGTCATAATAACTAAATAAGCTAATGCTTCTCAGCAGATCGTGTGATAATATTTGATTGATGCAGTTCAAGTCATAAGTTGTTCATTGTAGGCTTGCGTGAGTAAGTGGGAGCGCGACCCTCTACAGTACGCGTGCAAGGCTTACTGCTGCGCTCGTCAGGAGGTCAACATCCTTCTGTCCCTCCGTCACTCGAACATCGTGCCCTTCGTAGGCGTGTGTCTTCGTCCTCTTGCCCTCGTGCTCGAGCTTGCCCCCCAAGGAGCCCTGGACCAGTGCCTTAAACACTACAGGAGGAGTGGCGCTCGTCTCGATGTTCGCACTCTGCCGAGTGGCACTAAAGGCTTCGGCGGCACTGAAGGCTTCATGGCACCTGAGATGATGCGCTTCAACGGCGAGGAGGAGTACACTGAGAAGGTTAGGCTGCTTGACTGCTTTCTACTTTATAATAGAAATTAAGTGTAGTGCTTAGAAAACATAACATAATGGCAAGCATATACATTATTTGTACATTATTTCTCTCGGCCTTAGTATTCTTGTTTCTCTCTACCTATTAGAGAACATAATGACAAGCACAGACATTGTTTCTCTCTGCCTTATTATAGAAATGAAGCATAGTGCTTAGGAAAATGTATTAGACAACATAATGGCAAGCACAAACCTTATTGCTCTCTACTTTATTATAGAAATGAAGTGTAGTGCTTAGGAAGACCTATTACAGAACATAATAGCAAGCACATACATTATTTCTCTCTATTTTATTATAGAATAGAAGCGTAGCGCTTAGAAAAACCTATTAGAGAACATAATGGCAAGCATATTCATTTATTTCTCTCTGCCTTACTATAGAATAGAAGTTTATTGTTTATTCCAGATATTAAAGTGTATTGAACTGAATAGACAAGGTCGCGATCATGAGACCAAGCGACATGACGAAAGCAGATCTGTTAGCAGAATATAAAGTGTGTGGTGTGTGCAGGTGGACGTGTTCTCGTTTGGGATGTTCCTGTACGAGCTGCTGACCACGCATCAGCCCTACGAGCAATGCGATAACGTCAAGGAACTCGTACTNGCAGGTAATGGCAGCCGTGACCGTACCTCCTGCCACTGCAGGTAATGGCAGCCGTGACCGTACCTCCTGCCACTGCAGGTAATGGCAGCCGTGACCGTACCTCCTGCCACTGCAGGTAATGGCAGCCGTGACCGTACCTCCTGCCACTGCAGGTAATGGCAGCCGTGACCGTACCTCCTGCCACTGCAGGTAATGGCAGCCGTGACCGTACCTCCTGCCACTGCAGGTAATGGCAGCCGTGACCGTACCTCCTGCCACTGCAGGTAATGGCAGCCGTGACCGTACCTCCTGCCACTGCAGGTAATGGCAGCCGTGACCGTACCTCCTGCCACTGCAGGTAATGGCAGCCGTGACCGTACCTCCTGCCACTGCAGGTAATGGCAGCCGTGACCGTACCTCCTGCCACTGCAGGTAATGGCAGCCGTGACCGTACCTCCTGCCACTGCAGGTAATGGCAGCCGTGACCGTACCTCCTGCCACTGCAGGTAATGGCAGCCGTGACCGTACCTCCTGCCACTGCAGGTAATGGCAGCCGTGACCGTACCTCCTGCCACTGCAGGTAATGGCAGCCGTGACCGTACCTCCTGCCACTGCAGGTAATGGCAGCCGTGACCGTACCTCCTGCCACTGCAGGTAATGGCAGCCGTGACCGTACCTCCTGCCACTGCAGGTAATGGCAGCCGTGACCGTACCTCCTGCCACTGCAGGTAATGGCAGCCGTGACCGTACCTCCTGCCACTGCAGGTAATGGCAGCCGTGACCGTACCTCCTGCCACTGCAGGTAATGGCAGCCGTGACCGTACCTCCTGCCACTGCAGGTAATGGCAGCCGTGACCGTACCTCCTGCCACTGCAGGTAATGGCAGCCGTGACCGTACCTCCTGCCACTGCAGGTAATGGCAGCCGTGACCGTACCTCCTGCCACTGCAGGTAATGGCAGCCGTGACCGTACCTCCTGCCACTGCAGGTAATGGCAGCCGTGACCGTACCTCCTGCCACTGCAGGTAATGGCAGCCGTGACCGTACCTCCTGCCACTGCAGGTAATGGCAGCCGTGACCGTACCTCCTGCCACTGCAGGTAATGGCAGCCGTGACCGTACCTCCTGCCACTGCAGGTCTTATTCACTTAACTCTCATTATCGTCAACCTGGAAAATTTATCCAAACCTCGGAAGCTGATGATATTCATATTGATATATTTCTATATGCATTGCACGAAAACTGATGATATTTATGTTGATTTATTTATAAACTTTTTATGCATATTTCGTATATTTCTATATGCATTGCACGGAAACTGATGATATTTATCTTGATTTATTTATATACTTTTATGCATATTTAGTATTTTTTTATCTCTTGCAACATCTTTTGGTTGTTGCAGACGCGGAGTGGGAGGAAGATTTATTTGTTTATTTATTTATTTATTTAAAATATACTAAATACGCATTGTCGCTGCAGACGCGGAGTGGGAGGACGAGGACGAAGACGACGAAGATGGATGTAGCAGCAGCCCCAGCCTAGGAGGAGTGTGGCTGAGTCGCACGTCCCCTCATCTTGACATGCTCACTGCCGGGGGCGGCGCTCCCAACTCCAACGCACTGCACTGTAGTGCCGGNGTCAAGGCGATGGTTTACCTGCACTCCGGCCTGTGCCGCGTCGCCGTCGCCCTCGACAACGGGCGTCTCTTCGTGTGCTGCGGTGATGCCAGACCTACGACGCCCGTGTGTGGTGAAGGCAGCTTCGTTATGACGGAACTCGCGGCTGACAGCCTCACCATCCACTGCATGGCCGTCACCATCACCAGCGGCATCTGGTGTGTTGTAATGTAGATATTATGGAATGTTTTTGGATATGGAATGATTTTGTGGTGCTTAAAATTTTATGGTTGTAGATATTATGGATGGTTTCGTTTTTGTGCAAGAACTATCAATTTTTTATGTTTCAAAATGTTATGGTGCGTTGCAATAGAGTTCTTATCGAATATTTTGTTGCAGAACAAGAACGCTCTGTTGTGATGTTTAAATGCTACGGGACATCGCAATAACGTAATTTTCTAAAAAAAATTATGCTGTACAATTAGGTCCTTAAGCTGTTTTCCTTCTTATTGATTCTCAGTTTGGACACATTTTTTTCAGCTATGAGCTTCAGATCGAAATCAAACGTAAAAACTTCAATAACGTGTTTTATTATTTATTTTTAACGCCTGCCTTCGTACGTTGTTCAATCGCTGGAGTTCGTGCTTTCTCGTAGTTTCAACGCCATCAGATGTACTTCTGAATTTTTACTATTCAACTAAAGTCATTTATTTTCAATTCTTTATAAGTATTATATAGTTCCTAAACTACTCAACCACTTGAGCTTGACTCTCCAGCATTTTTTTAAAGCAACTTTGTGGCAGCGACAGAGACATAGCAAGAAGGATTAGAAAGAAAATATCCTAATTGGTTAATTTAAGCCACGAAAAGTGAAAACAACAATGTTCTAATTCTTTAATTCCTTGAGTAAATCGCTATTAACACGTTGACTCCGAAGTGGTACATATGCGTACCACAAAATGTATTTCTCCAGGACGTAGTGGTACATAATTCAGGTTGCCTTTAATCGGCCAAATCCGAGAACAAAAAAGGCCAAAAAAGGCCGATAACTCAATATATACTAGTTTATTTGTAGTTTCCGCTATAAAAATTCAATTTATTTTATTTTTGCAGTATTCAAAATTTAATTAGGAAGTACCCCTATCATAAATTTTAGCCGGCCAACGCAATTGAGAAAAACTAAATCACGTAATTTGTCCGGAAAAAATAACCGTCTGGCAACCATGTTTAAAAACAGTACAAAAAAATGAAATAATAGTACAAGATGAAACAGTCGGAGTCAAAGTGTTAAGGTCCGACCTAAGGTGCCTAAAATCAACCTACTGTTATATATTAATGCGGCGAGTAAGATTTAAGAGCTAGCGACGACATCGATGCTGTTCCTCATGCTAGAAATTAAATGCTGTTCACGCCCCCGACACAAATTATTTCAGAATTTGAGGCTAGCCTAATCTCCCTTTCAACTAATAACACAATACCATTGATATCTTTATCTCTGAATAACGTAAATATTTCTACCTGCAGGAAGCTATGGTGTGGTGTGAGTAATCGTCGCATGAGCGTTTTCTCTTTCCGCCGCGATGGTTTGGTGGTCAACCAAGAAACTGTAACCCATAATTCCGCTCCAACTTTGGCGTCTGGCTCGTCTCGACCACATGTCGAGAAAGACAGCTCTCATGACGAAGAATTTAACAGCCTTGAGTTCGTATCCGAAGGCGACTGTGAAGAAGCTGGGGATGTACTTCTCGCTCATGCCCCTGAAATGCCCGTCGTTATAGCACACAAATTACGGCGCTCTTTATGGACTTACTGCTACCCTGGATGTGTGGTGTTCCACTGGGATGCCGAGCAGCAAACTATTATTAACAGACTGGACTGCTCCAAACTTGCACCCTGTTCCGAGTCTCTGCAAAGCATCAGCATAGAAGAACGTCTGTCTCCGGCCAACTGTAAGGTCTCCGCTCTTGCTGTGTGTGGTCGAGAGTTGTACGTGGGCACGAGTTGGGGGTGTGTCATTGTCGCCGAAGCTGTCTCTATGCGGCCTATAACCGTTTTCCGTCCTTTTGAAAGTGAAGTTCGCGCCATCTTGCCATTATCCCCTAATCCCAACAATGAATATGAGAGCCCCAGCGACAACAGCGGTGAAATCGTGAAGCAAAAACTTCGCCGTTGTGGCGGCCACCGCACCGGCTCACCGTCGGCTGACAGCGCCAGCAGAAGTGACAACGGCGTGCTTAAGAGGGACTTCTCTTTATGGGGCAGTGGCACTTGCAAGACGGATTCCCATCCCGTCTTATCGCCATCCTCTCAGAAGTCTTTCAATTCAAGCACTAAATCTTCGTCCAGTATGAGCCTTAGTTCGAGTAGCGTGACGAGTAGCAATGAAAGTAACCACTTGTCGGCAGCGCCTCATGACGAAGTGTGCAGTGACGGCGACGATGAAGGTGATGAGACCGCGAATGGTAGTAGCGGACCATGTCCCATGGTCGTTACCGTGGGCAAAGGTTACCGGGATCTTCTGGCCCGTTATGTCCCCTTGCCTCGCAGCACGCAACAAGAGGCACATTCTAAAGCTCTTTACTGCCTTCTGTGGCGAGCTGACACTTGGACACATTAGTGATTCCTAGGAAGCGTTTTTTTCTGAAATAAGAATACTAACATTTTAACGTACTGCCTGTCCATTGAAAAATTGTTCCCACATTCCCCGGCACACTGGTATTCTATATTGACCGAACGAGAACCCAATACTAAACTTGTCACTTTCCTAGCTAAGAGACGAACATTTGCTAATCTTTCTTGTATATAAGCATACATATCTGAGAGTAGCTGTACCGTTTATGGTTTCAGGCAACGAAATTATACATCGTTCGTGAACGAGCGCTCGCTTACTAGTGCAGCTACTGTTAAATTGTCACAAGATTACTTCTAAGTCCCTTTTATATATTTTTGTACTCAGTAGGCCAGAGTATTTGTGATGTAGATTTGTATGGCATGAGATTTTAACTTAGAAGTTAGTGCGCTTAAGAGTCTCAGAACTGCGATGTTGATAATTATGTCTGTAACTAGAAGAGCAAGTCTGTGGAGACTTCAGGCGAGCACAGCATTTAATTTTTACAGGCGAACATAACATTTAATTTTTAGTTTTACCAAAGTTTCCAGCTGAGGCGTGACTGTACAGTGTACATCGACTCTCACTTCGCCAATCCACATTATTGTGGAAAATGTGCAGTCTGCTCTTAAACAGACAATTCACCGTAATCACAAACTAAACGTTGACTTAACACTTACGAGTGTCGCGTATAAGATATACGTGATTACGCCTTGGCAAGGAGTGGTGTTGCTCCAGCTACAGCTCGGCCTTATGCCTGGTCTTGATATTATCAACTGATGTTCAACAGTCGTATCATCATCCCCACTTATTTAATCTCAAAGAATTATCTGTCATTAATATTTTAGCGTACTATGTTGTCCTTTGTTTTATTAATGTTATGTTTCTGTTTCTGCTGTAAGGGTCCCAAGCTAGTTTTAAACAAATTACTACGCTTTTTAATTTTGTTCCTACGATTTAAAGTAGCTTCTTGTAGGAACAAAAGGCTTCTTGAATAAACTGGAAATATTTGTTTAGTATCGAAAATTTAGAAAGTTTGGTTTTCTCAGTTACAAGTTTTTGCAAATTTTCACTAGGCCGAGGCTATATCTTGGTCTCAGGGACGAAGTGTTCATATATTTCAATCGAAGGTAATGACTTAATCAAGATATTCATCAGTAACATGCTATTTACATTTACGTTCTTTGTTCGTTTTGTTATTAATACTCATGTTAAGGAAGAGCTGTGAGTCTCGGTCCCCAACAAAATTTAGAGTCGCCCCAGTTTCTGGTATTCCAAATCAGAAGCTGCCGCGTCTGTAAATTTTTACTGGGGTGCGGCCGTCCAGTGTAACTATGAAGCTCTCATTAATGTTCATTTAACTACCTGATGAGGATATTCTATGAAATTACTTACTCTGTTCAAAATTATCATTAGAATTTTTTACTAATAATTTAGTGTCGGTATGCGAGTTGTAATGGGTTAAATGGATCTTGCCCGTACACAATTTTCGTGGGTTCTGTATCCTGCATTGTTATTATGTTTGCTTTAATTTGCACTTGGGTTTTATCTCAGCACAAGTTTCAATAACCAGCATTTTAATCAATAACTAATGTCATCGGTGCTATCGGTTCACCGTTGTTCTTATGGCTTTGAGATTAGGCTTGCACATCTACTAATATATTAATCGGTGTGCAAGGTTAACGTCCACTGAGCTTTAATTCACTACATATCTCCTTGTTAATCCTGCATCTTGGACATTCGATTATGCGAGATTAATCGACTATACGAGTCTAGCATACCATTGTTTTAGAGAGCTGCCGTGAGAATTCGACATAGTGCGCTGAAACTGACAAGTAAGAATCACCGTTGATGCAACTTTAAATGTATTTTTTTTTTCTGATGAAAATTATGAAATCAATGCATCATAGTTTCACTTAAGCAGAGTTCTCAGAAATTTCACCCGTAGTTGGCATTCGAATTAAGTTGATCCTGAATAATATGTTTCATCTAAACTGGTCGCGATTCACTAAGCAGCTTTTTGTTTTGCAGGCAGGGAGGTAACATTTCTGATGACGATGAGGTGGTCATTGGTCGAACTTTGTTTACTTATCACCTTGTGCAGCAATTGATTCCAAATAATTAATTTGTTCATCTAGTCATCTATTCAGAGGAGTCAAATAACCTATTACTTAAATCATGCATCGTTTGTTGAAAGTTTAACATGCAAATCTTATGTCTTTAATTAACCTAAAACTTTTATCCCGATCATTTATCCTTTCTGTGACAATTTCCTGAGGATTTCAAGCTTCAAAGTACTTTCTACAATATATCTTTAATTTGAGGACTACTTACTGATGAGGAAAACTCATTCCTTTTTGGAGACGTCGTTTACTTACTCTAAATTTCATACTTTAGCCGTAAATGAGATGATAGTTTATTAATGTTCTGCCTTCATCACTTGCTTGTGCAGAGAACAGGTTTGTTTAAGAGAGGTAAGTGGTCATTAACTGGAGTATAAATTTATTAAAATAATTACACAGACAGGTTAATTTGTTAAAATGATTACACAGTCGTAAAAATTAAATGGAATAGATTGCAATTATTATTGCCTCTACAACCTCTTAACGTTTACACTGTGAAACGTCACGTAAATCACGTTATTTCTTGCAACAATTATAAACACCTCTATAATATTCTTTATCAATTTTTCACGATAACTTTATATAACCTCATGTAAGTTTTAATGAGGTATATACGCACTAATCAATCGCACTGTCAGATGACAAGCAAGCTGAAAGTCAGAGTATGGCTGATGACTGTGCTCCCGTTTACTACAAGATTTTGTTCACTTTTAAATATTTTCCGTAGAACATTCAATTTAATTATAACGAATAAAAATCTATGAACCGTTATTATCATTGTCTATGTCCAGTTGGTACTACTGGTAATCCGATCAAATTTATCGCTATCGAGGAGGATTGCTACAATTTCTCGATCAATTTTTTTTGAGGCTAGAGTGTATAGGATTGAAGAATTAAATAGGTTCAAAAGTGAGGTCTTCAGTGCGGATATGATTTGACGCCTCCAGAAATTCCAAAAGAAATTTTATGGCCAATCATCGGAAGCTTGAAAATATTCCCAAAATTCCAGCGGCGTTCATCGTGTTGGTCTTTTTTGTGATGATGTCGACGGCGGTCGTGGTGCCTGTGGTGATCTCTCTCATGTTGATGGTGATGATGATGGCAATCATGACAATCTTGGCCGCCTCTGTGATTATGATGTCCATTATAATTTGAACTCTTATGATAGTGAGCCGAGTGCTCGCGACGATGATGCTCGTCATGAGCTCTGTCAGCATGACCATGACGATCATGCTGTTCGTGATGGTGATAATCGTACTGGTCGTGTTCATCTGAATGATGAGGATGATGGTGGTCACTATCATGGTGTTGGCCTGAATTTTGGGAGTTGTAAGAACGTATGTTCGTTTTGCCGGGGGGTTTACCAATAGAAATCGGTAACGCGATGCACGTTCCCAGTCCCACGTGCTCGTAGCTGTGATCGTGGTAATGCACGTGGTGATCATGACTCTTAGGGTATTGATGGTCATAATGCTGTTCATCGTCAGGGTTGTGGCCGCGTCTTCGGGAACGGTGATCATATTGATGGTCATGGTGGTTTCGATGGTCATGGTGATAATGGTGATCATGTCGGTCATTAGGACGCCTATGATGGTGAAGGTGATGATCATTGTGTTTGTCATGCTCATCACGTTTGTGGAATTTGTGGTGATTCGAATGAGGTCTATGGTGACTCGAATGAGATTTGTGGTGACTCGAATGCGTTTTATGGTGACTCGAATGCGGCTTGTGGCTACTCGAATGCGGTATGTGGTGACTCGAATGCGGTTTGTGGTGACTTGAATGCGATTTGTGGTGACTCGAATGCGGCTTGTGGTGACTTGAATGAGATTTGTGGTGACTTTCATGAGATCTGTGATGTTCATACTCTTGATGATCTCTGTGCCGGTTAGAGCGACCCTGGGCGCTGGTATTGCTGTTTCCATTTTCCTGAAATGCCAGTGTCGTGGACTCAGTAACATAATCCCCTTCTTCTAGTTTGGACTTGGCAGCGATCTGATAAATTATTGGAAGGGACCTCGGGTTGTCGAGTGCGTACTCATCGTCTGTGTGATTAACTTGTTCATCATTATCTAACGTACTGTAGGTTGATGTTTCTTCGTATCCGCCTTCAATTTTCTGTTTATTTCCAAATAATGTTGAGTCAATTTCTGGAAGTTCAGCGGCGATTTGGTTGCGCGGAGATGGAATATAGGAAATTGGATTTTCATCACTTTTGGTCTGATTATCATCTTTCGTGAACAACGAAGAAATATCTATAATGTCGTTTTCTTCCGTACGAAACTGGGCCTCGGTGTCTTCAGAAACAGTTTCATCAGCACCTGTTTCTTGTTCTTTTTCGGTAGTCAGTTCAGAAGGCAGACTTGAGTTGGAGTCCACGAAAGGATTGTCAGCTTCTGCCTCAGAGTCCGAGACCGCGACGTGGGGTGCCTGTGGCAGAGCATGCGTGGTGAAGGTAAGCAGTGTTGCAATAAGCACCTGCAAGCATACAATTTATGCATAACCATTCCTGTAGCTGTACATTCCTTCATATTCACAACTCCTTAAATTTGAGACACAAAATTTATATTTCAACAACGTCAACAAATTATTTCTGTTTGAATATCTTCTTCTGTATGCTATCTTCTTAGTGCCAATTCTGTATTTTATTTCAATAAAAAGTCTCCATCTATCAATCTTTAAGTTTGTCATGCTTTTCTTGACGGCGTATCACCTATTCACAATTAAAGGTGCTTTAGAATTAGACATTGTCAAGTCAGGATCATTGCTTCAAATTTCCTTAATATTGGATTTATTTCAATATGGTTCCAAAAATTCTATACAAGTTTTTCGCTACTTATAGCAGAATGCCTCTGTGAAAAAAAAAGTAATATTGTGCGGGGATTTGTGCCCTACTTCTCGCCTCGTGTAAACGACAAACCGGATTTACCATCTTCTGGATCCGGGCCACTGAGAGCGACCATCAGAATGCCCTCCAGTCTTGAAGCTGGTGCAATTAAAGCAATAACTCCGAGCCATTTAAAAAGCGAATTTATCATTTAAAATTATTTTTAAATTAATAATCTTAACGATATTCCTGTGTTCTGAAGTTTTAGGACCACATTGAATTTATTAGGCTTATTAACATCTTAGTTGCTAGTCTGGAGTTGTGGTATACCATAATACAATAGCGGTTTCAGCGTTTAGTAGGCCGCAGGCCTGTCGCCGATTCTTAACATCGCAGAACATTCACAGCATTTGGCGGTCTCGAGCTCGCAATTCACTGCCACAATTCTGTTTTGCTTAACCGAATTTTACCAATATGGTAAAATTGTATGATGCTTTATTACTCATGTTTTGGTCATCACTGAAAGTGGTTAAAACTAATTCCCACAGAAAGTTATCTTGATTCAACTCTATGAAAAAGACCGATAATTTGTCTCAGCGATTTTCCGTCGGATCCGAGTTCAATGGTGGCGCTGCACTTTGGAAATTATTGACCAAGTTATGCACATTTATAACACTTGAAATTTCTGCTTTCTTTACGAGCTCGTTATTTGAGCAAATTTTAAATGAAATAAGGTTTCACGCTTCATATATAAGATGATACAAAATCGGAAACTAATTTAGCAACATAGATAACAGTGCCTTGATTATGAATAAGTACCTTCACGCAGTCGGAGCTCCAAACCATCACAAACTCCGAGTACGATTCTAAATAAATAAAACCTGAACGATTTATGAACAGAATTTAGTTTTTATGACGCCAGGAAATTAGGCTTGCACTTTATTTGAAATTTGGACTACAAAGAGGAACAGGAACACAACATTTAAAGGTTGTTTCATCATTTGATAAGTGTAAAGTATCAACATTGACTTACTGCGACCTGGAGCTTCATGTTGGAGCCGGCAAGCAGCTCGAAGATAGACTGACGCACTCCAGTCTGACTTGACCGTCCGGCCCTGTGGCGCGCACGATGTAGGTCACTCATCTCAGGACTTGTTCCTGCGCTGGGTATCGCTGGATTGTTTTTTGGCCTTCCGCGGAAACGTGGAAATGGGAGCGAGCATGCGTACAGATTTTAGGTCAGGAGAACACAAAATTAGGGAGATTGAATCGCTGAATGAACAAGCACCCAATGACCTTTTTAGGTTATTGTTTAGTTAGGTGAATTTTGAGTTTTCTATTATATCTAACACCTGAGTAATAGATATACTGGAATTGTAAGAAACGCTCCTATTCTAATTACGCTCCTTCACTTCAATATTTTTTATTACAAATACTTATTGAGGAACTTAGGTAAACGTATTAATGTTTTTACGCATATTAGCTTAAATTCGTTGGTTGCAGGGAGAAACAACTTCATATAAATAAGCAGTAAGACTACACCCAATTGCGCATGGAGCGTTTTTCGATTCGGAGTTCGAACTTCTGAAGTTCGGAGTTCGGACGTCTTTAGTTCGCTGTACGCTGGAGTCGAGGCAGGATGTGAACGATCTGTGGCTCCCGAGCTGTCGCAGAAGGGGGTCGGTCGTGTTGTTTGAAGCTACAAACTATTTCAAGATTGCAACAATTTTTCTTATCTCAAAATTCACGTGATTCTTTTTTTAAGCTGTTGTGAATGTGATTAATATTAGCTGCAATCAAATTCTGTCAATCCATAGCATTATACTTGGACATTCATTTTAATATACAGACTATGTCAACTGCATGCATTCGTTAAGTTTTTCCTAGTCTCATTACATTTTATTCTTTAGTTGTTCTTATCCATATTTTATTTACTTAAGCAAGCACAAATGCCTGTTTAAATATCAACGTACACTGGCTGGTTAGCTGACGCTAATAATCGATTTTTTCGGATCGTATTTTGAAATTTAACAATTCCAAGTTCTTAATGGTAAAACGCATGCTCTTAATTCAGACGGAAACCGACTGGACCCGAAAAACATCGAAGGACTGTGTTCTCTAATTGATTTATTTGAGATCACCGTAAAAGTTTTATTACATATTTTTTGGTATCATTTCATCCTGACCAAGCTACCTAATAATATTGCTACGCCAATTATTCACTTAATAGAATCATTTTATTGTATTATCAGTCATCATTTCTTAAATACCGAGTTCATTAGTTGCTCAAACACCGGCATTACCAATCACATGAATATTATAACTGGAATTGAACAGGCTAATATTAATTAATTTAGAGTGAGTGTTACAATCACAGGGATATTATAACTGGAATTCAAGAGGATATTATAAATTAATTTGAAGTGATCATTACAAGTACTACTCCTCCTCGTCCTCCTCCCTGCACGTCACAATGGGAAGGACGAGGAAGGCGGCGAAGTGAACTGCCTCGTCGCGCCTCACCGCCCAAGCGTAGCGCGCTCGGCGAGGCGGAACGGGGCCGTTCTGCTTCGCCGTTCCTGCAAGCTCTGCTGCTTCTGCAGCCGTTCCTAACTAGCAGAGCTAGTTCTGCTTCGCCGTTCTTGCAAGCTCTGCTGCTTTTGCAGCGTCTACTTCTTTTGTAGGATCTGCTGAACGCATAGGATTTGCTTTATATACTCATGACTGCTTCATAGTGCAGCCTTAACTGCTGATTGAAGATCTTTGCTCACGTCATTCTTTCTCTTGCGTCAGCAGAAGCAGTTTCTATTAATTATGCTCCGTCTTAGCTTCTTGTCATCTCTTTTCAGAGCAGTTGATTAGTTTATGAACAGAACATGAGTTTAAGCTTCATAAAGGAAGAGCCGCAAGACGGTATAACTGCTGCCGAGTTTTGCACTTCACCCAGAAACCTCTTGGAAATCTCCACCAAGGACGAGCCAGAGGAGACTGCCAAGTCTCTGGACTGCGGAGTTGATACATTCCTCAACTCCGTGAGAGACTACAACCACCCAACTGTGTCAAGGAACAATGTAACTTCTAATGGGACTTCACGATCTCCAATCTCACTCGCCAGTAGCTTCACAAATCCAAGCAGCTTTCTGTCCCCATGCCAGGATGCCAGTTACTATTTCACCCATGCTCCGGACCTCCAACGAGTTTCCGACTCGCGGTCTCCACGGGTAAGTTATAGAACTGCAGGCCTCACCCTTCCTGTTTGAGATTAAAAAACTTAATTATTATATCCAAATAGTGTTTGGCATAAAATAAATGTTAAAGTACTAGATAATAAATTTCTTTAATTTTAACTTAACATGTGAATATTTATAGCGGTTGTCACCTGCCCTGCCGATCGTGACATACACAGAAGACGAAGTCAAGAGTCTGGTGCAGTTGGGTCAGTGCAGACTCGTCAAGATGAATTCGAAGTCACGGATCTGGCAACATTTTGAAAGAGTATTCAACGAATTTGGACAAGACACAACTTATGTTGTGTGTTTATCGTGCAGAAATTTATTGAAGCACAAATTGACAAGTACCACAGCCCCCCTCGTGGCCCATGTTCAGCGCTGCAGCGGTCACCGTATTGCTCACGACAGGTCAGTTGGAATTCTAAGATTTATATAGTGATGATTGATATAAAAGCTCGTGACGATGCATTATTATGGAGGTTTCTGTGGCAGATTTTTACAAAGTCTATAGAGTGTAATAGACTATAACAAACAGTATTTAAAACAGTCTATTACGACATTTAACAAAAAGTTTTTATAATAGGTTATTACGACAGCATATTTCAGCAGATTGTTGCTGAAGGCGACCGGTTCTTACAAAAATTATTACCAGATTAAATTACAGCATACTTATACAATGGTGTATCACAGGCTTGTATCAACAAAATTTTCAATTGATAAGTACAGCCGGTTGTTCGCCAGACTTTCGAAATTCGGTCGCTAATTGTTTTTCAATCATGTTATTGCGGTCGGTTTCGTGGGTTATATTACGTTACTACATATTATTGCTGCAGGTTGTTGTGAGAGGTTGTAGTTCTGGTTCTGCGTTCTAATTGCTCGTGTTGTTGCCAAATTCGATGTTTCGTATCACTGCAATACCTGAAAGACTGATGTTCTAGAACAGAAACGTCTTTTTGCTATTAAGTTAGGCTTGTATGTTCTAATATAAAATTCTCTGGTTTCCAAAGACTTCATTATCAGTATTCGGTAGTTTTTGAAATTATGCTTCATTATTATGAATTAATCGCCAAAAAATATGGGAAGGATTTTCTACCTTATTTTAATTAGTTTTCTAGAATAATGTTTCAAAATCATTAGATGCCATGAAGGATTTGTGGGAAAAATTTGACTCACCTAATTATTAGTTCTTCGTCGTGGTTTCAATTGAATGAAAATTTGTTTTATCTCAGCCCAGAATCGCCAGGCTCAAGATCTTCGGAGTCTGCCTCTCCCCAACTACCTCGTGATGACTTCGTGAGTCAACCCCAACTCTTCTTCCCTCTCTTCAGCCCTGAACCTGTCACTCAGGACCACCAAAAATTCATGTGGCGTTCACCTCCAAACGCCTTATCGCCGCAAAACCCTTCTCAAAATGCTGCTAATATGACCATTTTCCCATCATTTGACCCAATCAGCGCATTAAGACCCCAACTAAGTCCTTTCGGTCACGCTCCCCAAACACCTTCCCCACATTTCCCCTTCAATACTCATGACGGAGTACACTTTGGAGGTTCGGCGCCCCTAAACTCCAGAAAACCGCGACGTTCACGTCACAAAGACGTATTTCCTCGTCAGACACGACATCCAGGGGACACGGTTCGGTCGGGGACCAGCAGAAATACAATCACTGGAAAAGAGACGTCACTCAATGGTAGTAATGATTCGCAGGAGGCAGGAGCCAACGGAAAGAGCTTAAATTTGGCATACAAGGCAGCCCTCGACGCCGCCGTTGCTTTCTGCTGCCTTGATGGCCGCTGGTTTGATGACATCCGTGGCTCAGGTCTTCGGGAGCTGTGTCAGGCATTCCTCAACATCGGCGCGCAATGCGGGACTCTGTTGTGAGTTTGTGTTCTGAATTTGTTCCAAATTTGAAATATTACCGTATAAAACTTTTGGAGGTTTTTGTCTGATATTGAGAAATTTTTATTTCAGGATTAAACTTCATTTAAAAATAGAAGAAAAGAAATTAGTCTTTTTAATTTTATTTCTCCTATATGTAGTTGTATCATATTATTTTTATTATTATTTTCCATGTTCATTTTATTGCTCTTATAGTATCATTAATTTAGCAATTCATATTGTTGTATATTGTATATCCTGATCAAGCTGCGTTCATTTGATTCTTTTTAGCGCATTTTCTCATTTATGGAAAAAAGGCGCTATTGGGCTCGTCATATCCGTCCATCCGCCTGTCCGTTTGTCCGTTCGTGACTCCACGTTTTCGTCGACGAGAAAATGCGCTCTCTGTCACTCACTGTAGTGAGTACTGAGTATATTTTTTTTATTAAAGGGCAGAAAAGCTTCTGCCCTCTGCCAGCGATATCCGCCACCGCGCAGCTGACATGGCTGCCCTGAAGCGCAGCCTCGTGGCCGCCGAGCTGGCGCAGAGCGTCGCGTCGGAGGGCGGATGTCTGGCCGTCGCCACGACGCGGCACGAGGACGGAGTGAGATCAAACGAAGAAACAGATTGAACGTTATTTGTTCACAAAAAAATAGTGATCAAATTTAATGAAATTTTGTCTCAAAGTATTCTTGAGATCAATGAAATAACAAAAAATTCTACACGTTATGAATACAATGCTTGTTACTATTAGTTCTTAATTTTGATAAGAGTCCTTTCTTAAACAGCAAATTTCCTTTCTAAAGTGGAATCGTAATGTAAAAGGTACTATATAAGTTTGAAGCAACCGATCTCGCTCTAGCTTAAGAGATAACACCGCTGTGTTTCATCAGAGGACTTGGGTGAGCTGCCGACTTCATGTCGCCGGCAGGAGGGCCAGCGGGGCATTGGTGGGCACGTGGCCGTACGATGGCTCAGGACGTCTGCGTCAGCAGCTGCGTGGGGCTCTCGCGCTGCTCGGGCTGCAAGACCAAACAGTTAGCTTCAGTTTGAGTTACTTGTTCAAAGACGGGTGTCATTAGATATTTTTCTTTGGTTATACTCTTGAATGAAGAGCTTGATTTTTTTAATGTCAGATCCAATAGACTTAGTTTTAAGTTTTGAAAAAATTATTTCCGAAAACGATTTAGTTAACGCACAAAACTCGTTTTCTAAAATTTGTAATTTCTCGGTTCTCTTCGTACCTTTTCCGTAAAGACTATAATATTTTTCCGATTTATGCAATTTGAAATTTTGATACTATTTTGCTGGTTAAAAATATTTTTGAAAGCTCCGTGCAAGACAAAAAAAAATATTGATATATGTGTTTCTTTTAATTACTGCAATTGCCATTGCAGTTTTAGGCATTTTAGGCGATAAAGCTCTAAATTGGGCTGGTTCTGAATTTCAACTCCAGTTACGCTTATCATCCTTCATGATCCTTGGTGAATGAAAAGAATTCGAATGAGGTAATTCGAGTTGGCTAATTTTCGAAACATTCTTTCAGGATCAACTTATCATCCTTGGAGACTCGGTTGCTTACCCTCTTCGTAGCGGTCCTCCTAAACCAGCTGATGGACCTGCAACTGGGAGGTCACCTCCATCTGGGGGCAGAAAGCTTACGATGGCGGATCCCGTGCCTTGCGGACGGTCCGCGATTCAGGATCTCACGTCGCGGATCCTGAACCACAGCCGCCTGTGTAGGTTTTACGGTGACGCCTTGGCAACAAATTTGCAGCTGATTAAGGATCTCAGAAATTCGTATCATTCAAGTCTCGCTGCAGGCGCCTGCGATGTGGCAGCGCAAGCCAAAGTATATGAGGTAAGTTATTTAGTCTGAAGTACTGTAAAATTGACCATAGTTATGAAAATTATTTATTCCAACGCCCACACTTATGGAGAAGATTTGTCAAGGAAATAACATAAATTCAAAAATTTTATGCATTTCGGTGTTCATGGTTCTGAAATTCTAATCTATGTCCATTTTTCAGGATTTTGGCGTATTCAATCTTTCTCAAGTGAAATTTACTTATCAACGAAAAAAGGAAATTGAAAATTTATTCGCAAAATCTTGCCTAAAAGCTTCCTGTTCAGAAGCTATTAGTTCTTCATGTAAAATTAACTCGGCATCAAATATCGACGAATCTTCAAGAAGCAATTCCTTTAAATCTGTTTCCGAATGCGGAGACATCGCGGCAGTAGACAATGCAGTTGAAAACACAAAAAATGCTATAGTGAATTCCAATTTAGAGAATATCGCTCATCAAACTTCAAAAGCTATGGCGGACTTTGCGATTCTTTCAGAAATTTGCGATTACTTTGAGCCTTTCGATGCTGCTCTCAGAGACCTGGATTGTTCCGACATCAATGAACCTAGTCTAGGGAAATTCTTGCCTTGGGTTAAAACTCTACGACAATATTCAGCAGATGCTGAGAAGACTTTGAAGAATAACACATCTGATTCAAAATTGAAAAATTATAGCGAGGAAAGTTCTTGCATTTATTGTAAAAGTTCTAAGAAAGTAAAACCGGACATAAGTCTTCCACATGATGGCCGAGAAACGGAAAGTTGCGACTCGTATACTGGAGCCACATCGACCAACGCCATGCCTCTGAAAAGCAATTCGTGTTTGTCTCTTCATGAGGTTGGGTTTGAAGTCGTAACGAACTTTTTGATAGCTCATCCTGCACATTTTGTTGCTACATTCCTCACCCCTCATTTCAAAAGCCTGGCCATGCTCGATGCTGAAGAAACTAAGAAAACTTTGTCATGGGTAAAGAAGTTAGCATCAGATATTTCCTGCATTGGTTCGGACTTTTGGATACCTGAGAACTATGACCGGGACGCCGGGATTACATCGAACCAGACCCGTATACTGGTTAGCGACGTAAACGAAATTAATTCAGCAACAACACATGTTGTCGAAAAGAAGAACAATGAAAGTAAGTTTGATAATACTTTGAAAATTATAAGTCTTGACATAAGCGATGATTCAAAAACTTCAAGACTAAGTAATGGTGTCAATGATCTCGTGGTTGTCCTGGACGATAAAAGCATGGATGAGGACAGTGCAGGAGAAAAACAGAAGAATCCAACGTTGAAGGCTTTGCTTGAGGACGATTCCTCGAACTTGTACCAGAAGCCTCCCGTCAGGAGCTGCAGCAGACCTCGTGGGCATCCTACGTTGGTTTCTCTGTTAGAAAGCAATATGACAGTTTCACCTACTGCGAAACGATGTATGGAATCCCTGCAGAACAATGGATCTGAAACGGACGGGGATGCTGTACATAAAAAATTGAGAATAATACCAGATGTTATTTTTGGAAGAGACGCCCATGACGGTTGCAGTGCAGACGACGGAAAAAAGGACAAAATTCAACTTAATCATGGAGATTTCTCTGAAGACAGAACCGTCCCTAGTGAGGCCAATGAAGCAATCGAAAATTCATCCGGCGGATTTTCAAGCGGAATAGTAAAAAATAACGAAAAGAATAGAAAGTATTGCACTGACGTGGATACGAGCAGGCTTGTCGACACACATGGGTCCAGCCATGGGTCCAGGAGCAAGAGTCGCTTCACGTCAATCGCCCACTACATGCAGTCGAATCCAGGCGATCAAAACGGAGAAGACTCGCCTGTGGACCTTGAACTTAGCAGGTAGCTGGAATAAGTTGCTATTATCGATAATGGTGACTAAATAAGAAATCAACTGCAACTCAGGATTCTTTGCATCCGATGTTAAATATTCTGAACTGGATAATTTCTAGACGTCGAAAGTTGTCCGGACATGTAATGTTTGTTGGCTATTAAATAAATAATAAATTAATAAATCTTCTCTTGATTGATGATTTTTATGATATTTCTTTAAATGTTCAAACCCAAGAAATTAACCTACTAAATAACATTGTGTTCCAATAGCATAATTTTTTTCATATTTTTACAGGTACCAAGGGCTGCCCTTCCCCCCGTCGGGCACGGCTACCGACGAATGGTGGCGACAGAAGGGTCCCCAGCTGCCGACGTTGGCCGCGCTGGCCCGTCGGTTGTTGTCGGTGCCAGTAACTGTCACGGCGATACCGATCCCTGATGGTCATCGCAGGTGGCCTCGCCAAGCCGACAAGACTGAGGCGGAGGACACTGTAGTGAATGATATTAATAACTTGATGTTCCTAGCGGCAGATTGGTAGTAATTTAGCTTCTTTTCCAATATTTTGGGATAAAAGAACTGTATATTATCTTTTCGTCGATGACATGGACAATTCTATGGTTAATAGAATTTTTTACCGACTAGCGCAGTTTCATATTTTGCGTTACCTCGCTGTGTATATTTTAACGATTGAAATTAATTCTAACGTAAAGGTAAAATTTCTTATTTATTATACAGCACGTGTATTTTTCCAGCATAAACTTCTTATTTTGTTTGGTTATCAAATCTCGTGATTTTCAAAACTAATTTGTTTTGCGATCATATGAACTTAGCAGTAATTTCATCACTCGAAAAGAGAATTAAAATATGAAGCTCCTGTGATGTTTTATTTTTTCACTATCCTACCGAAGTATTCGACATGCGTGATGAAGCATGATTGCTAACACGATCATCAACGAGAAGCTAGCAATCCATAAAAGGACTTTGTCCGGTAAATAGATAACATATTAGTTCCCATTTTTCAACGCAACGGAAATTTCCTCACAATTAATTATTACCTAAACTGCGAGTTGGAATAACGAGTAATGTTTGAAGAAAATCTCGATGGAAACCGCCTCCTAGTTTGTTTTGTATATAACATTAATTGACTGATTTAATAAAGTGATAGAGTCTAGGAACAATGTTCGGAAGATCTCTCGTTATCTATGCAATAAACGTGCATAGATACAAGGCACAACTGGCAATAGTCGCCTTGACCATCATATCAAATCTCCTTCACGCTTCTGTCAGCTGCAATGAAGTCGAGTATTATACAATCTTATTAACAAATTAATTATAATACCTAATCGAAATTTATTGCGCTTTTAATTGAAGTAAAATGTTCTTTTGGTGGATAAGAAAGCAATGAGAAATCCATTCCGAAAACATCGGAATAATTATTCGCATAATTATGAAGAACGACGTCAAACGCTAGTTACACCATAATGTAATGCGGAAGCTAAACGGCAACCATTGAGACATAGAAGGCTTGATCTGTCACCATGCAGAGTACCATAAGATACCGCCCACGTGGCACCGAGCGAACACCTACTCATTGCAGGCTGGCACCAGTGACATTGGTTTGGTTTCACACTTCGTTGCTCACATGCAAATGCTACGTGAATCAAGGTCTAAATTATTCACCAAGGATCAACTTGGCAGCCGGGCAAGAGATGCTTGCATTTACTGGTCTTGGGGCCCAGTCAGTGCCTGTTGTGGAGTGCCGAGGGGAGGTGTGTGACGGTTGAACGCTCATGCGCTGCATTGCCACTTGTGATAAGCACAGACGCTGCAGTTGTGCCAAGACCGTTGATTCGCTTTGAAGTTTCCGCGGTTGAAATTTCTCGTATCTTCTCGTGAGTGCAAATTATTTCGTACGAAGAAATTAGTACGTGAGGTGCATTTTTGTTGCTGCTGTTGCATGTCTAGCACGTGCGTTTGTGCTCGAGCTCGTCGTCCTCAGTCATAGATAAGAGAGCCCAAGGGAGGCGCTAAGAACAAGTTAGGTTGCTTGCTGGTCGCCGTTGCAGCGAACAAACGTGCACACTTTGCAGTGTTGCCATGCCACAACCGTTGCGCAATTCTGTTAAAAAAATATCAAAGAGAATAACATAACCTAGGAGAAAAAGTGCCCACATCTAGTCATTGACCAATCATGTGAAGGTGTAGACTTGACTCTACGTGCAGGTGATGCGCAAAAGATACATCCACTGGCGGGGCCAAATGACGGGGTAGAGGTCGCGTATCAAATGTTTGTTCAAGGTGAAGGATGAAACTGATGTTAACTTATTGCCGACATTACAATTATTTTGATTCATATTTTGAAATTAAATCTTTTAGGTGAACTGATCTTATATGCTAACTTGCATTAGCGTTATCATTTAGGATATGTGAAGCTCCGTCTCAGAGTACAAATGTTGCATCGTTCTCAACTATTTATTTAAAGCTACTCCTCTGTAGATTAGAGGTGTTAACATGCAATAATGTTATGAATGAGTTATTTGTAAGTAAATCACTTAACGTGATGTGACATCCGTGCGGTAAATTGACGCAGCACCACTATACCCGACCCACCATAACGGCAGTCGTATCAGGCACTTCTCATGATAATGGTTATCACAAGGAAATGATTATCTTCAGTTGTATTTTTCACTTGGACTATTACACGCTTTGATGTTTGATTAAACATTATGCAGTTATTGGACGACGCGGTGTATGTTCCGATACGTCAGAGTGTATCAATTCTGATACTTCGTTTATCTTTATCGGTTTATGCAGTTATCGCGGACGACGCGGTAGACGTTTCGATGCGTCAAGATATATCAATAGTTCTGATACTATGCTTTTCTCAGGGAACTTGAAGGCTCGCAATGAATTTTATTCACGCGGGAAAAAATTTTCTGACTGAGGAAGATTTTCATGTGTGTGAAATAAATTTCTGTATAAGCTAATTATATTGTATACGAATGTTGATAATGCAACGCTCTCGTACGGCTGTGGAAAAACAGAATTTTGAAAGAGTAGGCGAATGTGAGCGGATTTTGTTAGACAAGATTTAATCTTTGCTCGGTACAAAATAGAGAACAGTGATGTTTAGACAATTTCCAATACTCCAAATCCAAAGCTAAAGCGAAAAACGAATGTGTTGGCTTGACGAAAAACACTTAACGAGCGCGACGCAGACAAGCGAGACTGCGAGAGTTGAGCCCAACCGAACTTGGTTGAAGCTTTCCAATAATACTGTAAATAAATTTTGATAGAAATACACGCAAATCAAGTTATAATAGTATTTGAAAACATATGCACAAGGTGCGGTATATATAACTCAGTACTCCCTGCAGTGAGTGACAGAGAGCGCATTTTCTCGTTGACGAAAACGTGAAATCACGGACAGACAGACGGACGGACGGACGGACAAGACGAGCACAATAGTGCCTTTTTTCTATAAATAAGGAAATGCGCTAAAAACGTTCTCAATAACTGCAATTTTTCGCAGTGCCAGCTTGACACATATGCTCTGTGCCAGTCTTCGTCCCATGCAGGGTCGATATTCGTCCTCTTGTGTCGTCCTTGACCGTGAGCTTTCTCTGGTCACAGCCGTGATCCACGTGCTACCTATGCGTACGGGCGACTAGATTGTTTCTGCATGTTACGCATGCAGGTAAATTTACTATCTCATATAGGTGAATAACTTGGCTTACGTATGCATAAAGTTTTTAGGGATATCGATTGTTATGAGGGCGTCTTCTTTTTCAAGTTATGTGAAAGCATTTTCTATTGAAACTTTCACGTTTGAGCTCTAGCTTTTTGGATCCCTAGATTTTGAGCTTTTGGATCCCTAGATCCCTAAATCCCTGGATTTTGGATTTACAAATCTGTTAGCAGGAGGGACGTACGCAAATATAAAAAAAAACGAACTCCCATGTGATTAATTTGGTTAATCACGGAAACACCTGTTACCGCAGGAACACGCAAAAGTGATCATTTTTGTATGGTTGTAAAAGCTAGCTCTGTTGTATGTCGCTGTGAATAGTATTTATACGAACAAATTCTGGTTATTCATGCTTGAATGGATCGAAAGTAGAAATGGCTCTGTGCTAATTAATTGCTGCTTTCACAACCGTGTTACTTGCTTAGCAAATTGAATTTTTTTGGAGTATTTAGTACCTTCGTACAATTGGAAATTGAATTCGTCACTTTATTCGATCCGAGGATAAAACCTTACTTTCCGGCTCTTGGAAGACCGATCACAAGAACGAGGTTTCGGAGTTTTGTCGAACTGCAAGTACTTGGCATGCGGACCACAGCGTCTCATATCCCTTCTGACTTCTGATCAACTCAGTCTGTCATGCTGTACATCTTCTTTTTTATTAGTCTTCTTTAACGTGAATGTTCAACATTTCTCTACGGTGATGACAGGCTGAAAACAGTCCAAAATATTATTTATTCCGTCGGTGTTTTTTTTTCGTTTTGTGATACGGTAGGTGACATAATTTACTCTAAATAATGTTTTAATGACTTATTTCCTATCGCATCGCATTTTTAGCGGGTGAATTAGTGCAAAATTTAAAGGCATTAAAAAACTAAGTGATCACAAATAATTTAAATATTCAATAATGGCGCTAACATTACAGAATTTCAATGGTTTATGTCGACGCCGTAATGCGTGCTGTGTAGCGATCAGACCCAATGTGTAGAAGCAATATCATGCACCCTTTTACGTCTAGCTTTATACCTATTGATTTTATATTATTAAATATAACGACAAAAAATTGACGACGTCAAACGCATATCGATGAAAGTGAACACTATAATGTGATTGCGTAGCCTTCACATTCAATTGAAAAATTAAATTTCACCAGAAGCTGGGGAATGAACTTCAATTTAAGTCAACATGATAATATAAACTTTTTAGGATCCTAACAAGAATCTGGTGATCTTTATTTATAAGTATAAAGTAAACGGTTGTTAGTCTTGACGAAAGATATACAATTTACGTTAATGTTACTCATACATCAGCTTGACCATGCAACGCACCTGAATAATTGATACTTGATTCACTTCATCCATTAGTCATAATTTAATCGGATCTTCGGTTCGTTTCTTTAAGTAACGATGTTAGTGGAATTTAACTTCTATTAATTGGGGGAATTTTTTTATGGAAAACAAACAAACAATGATTAAAGATTTGTATGGTATTTCTAATTTTTCTATAAATATACATAACCAACAAATGCACCTACTAAATTAATAAACACTAAACAAATGACCCTAAATTATCATGTTGAATGACCCTTATAGCTACTGTAACACATTGATGAAGGCCCAGGGCCATTAGATTAATTGTGTATGAAATCTTGTGTATAATGCGTCTTCAGAATCAATGCGTGAACTACATTGCATGGTAAAGATTGGTTTAGGTTAGATTTCGAGAAATTTTGGCAGAAGCTAAGGACCCTCGCGATCATTGACATTTTGTTCCCATGCACTCCACTGGCTTCTCAAACAATTCTCCTGTCGTACTTCTTAAGGTTATGACCATTACATTGAAAATTTTATTTACTTTGCATTCCGATGTGCATGCGTATTTCATTGTTTTATGATTTTTATCTGATTGCTAGGTTTGATATCGTGACTGTTTCAAGCTCTTAATCACCTACGAGTTTCAATCTATTATTAGAAGGGCATAATATCAAAATTTCAAATGAGTTGAGGTGTAAACAGTTATTTTCATCTTAACCGAGAGTCTAATTTCATTCCTTTTTTCCTTATGAAATGGTGGGACACACAA